TGCGCCGCGGCAGGCGGGGCCCGCCCGGGGGCGCGGCCAATCGGCGCGGCGGGGGCAGAGCCGCGCGCGGGGATTGGCTGCGCGGTGAGGATTGACAGAGGGTACGGCCAATCGGGTGAGGGGGAGGTGCGGCAAGAGGCGGGGCGCCGGTAGCGGCACGGGCGGGCGGGGAGCGCTCGGTGCGGGGGCGGGAGCGGCCGGGCCCGGGGGGACTGCCCGGGACTGGGAACGGCACCGAACGGCACCGCCGGGATCCCGAACGGCACCGGGGCACCGCGAACGGCACCGCCCGGGACACCGCGAACGGCACCGCCGGGACACCGCGAACGGCACCGCCGGGATCCCGAACGGCACCGGGGCACCGCGAACGGCACCGCCGGGGATCCCGAACGGCCCCGCCGGGACCGCGAACAGCCCGACCGGGGATCCTGAACGGCCCCGCCAGGAGCCCCGCCTCGTGCCCGGCCCGAGCAGCGGCAATCCCGCCCGGTTCCGCCCCGCAGCAGCGGTGCGGGGCGCGGAGATGCCGCCGTTGAGAGCGGGGATCGCAGCCCGGAGCTCCGGGGGCTCCGCCGCGCAGCACGGCCCCGGTGTCCGGTCGGGCCGGGGCTCGGGCCGGTCCCCGCGGGGCTCGCACCCGGCACTGGCGGTGGGAGCGGTGAAAGGAGGGAAGTGGAATCCCGCGGGTTTGACTCTGCCCCAGCCCTGGGGAGGGAATTAAATCCCGCAGGACCCCCGGTGTGATCCTCCCCCAGCCTTTGGGGCTTTTCCCCTGCCCGGTCCCACCGGGAAGGCAAAGCTGGGGAGGCACAGGCTGCACCAACCCGCTGCAGCTGGGGAGGCACAGGCTGCACCAACCCACTGCCCCCAGCTCTCATCGTTCTGCATTTCCCCAGCTCTCATCATTCTGCATTTCCCCAGCTCTTGCCCACTTCGGGGCCCTTTCAGGGGCAGTGCCCGAAGCCCTGCAGCGGGAGGGAGCTCCGAGGAACGCAGTGACCTTTGCGATGTGCTGGCAGCCAGCAGAGCCAACCAGCTCTGCCCCAGGCTCCACTCAAACTCGGCACTCAGCATCTCCCTCGCTTCTCCTGCCACACAAACAAAGCTCCACAAAGAGCCAGCCGGCCCTGCAAGGTTTGTTTTATAAGGTCACCATTTCCACAGAGTATCACATTAGAAACATCCACTCACACAGCCAGGCCCAGCACCAGAGCAGGGCTGCCAGGAAAGCCTTCAGCTGAGACTGCAGAGCCCTGCTGGGGCCGGCTCTGCCCCCCGACCCAACAAAGCCTCAGTTCTGCCCCAGTCCGTGCAGCTCTTGGCCCGCTCGCTGCAATGAAAGCATTCCTGGGCCAGGGCAGTGCTGAGAGGTGACAAAGGCTGGCACTCCCGGTGGCACCAGCGCCCGCCTGGCCACACTTTGGCATTCCCACCCCGCTGCCCTGCCCCTCTCACTGAGGGAGAACATGAACTTTCCTCCTGGATGCCAACAGTTCCTTTGGATATTATCCCAAATCCTTACTTTGCTCTTTTTTCTTGTTTCTTTTTTCCTTTTTTTGGTGTTTTTTTTCTTTTTGTTTAAAACATTACGCTGGCAGAAAACTCCCAAACAAAGCAGTGACACAAGAGTGGGGTCAGCAGTAAAAGAACAGGGCAGTGGGACAGAGAGAGCACACTGACAAATGCTGGGATTCCTCCTCAGCCAGGCCCTGACAGGGGCACAAAGGGGGCCCAGCAGCCACATGTGGGCAGCGCAGTGAGAGCAGTGAGAGCAGCTCCTCCTGCCTGCCAGGGGCAGCAGCCCATCCTCAGCCATGAGACGATCCAGGGAACGATCACTACACAGAGTTGTTTGCAGGCTGTGAATGCAGAAAGCCGTTTCAGCTGCAGCTCCCCAGACAAAAGCTCCCTGCAGCCTTCCCAGGCCAGGAAGTTTGCTTCCCAGTTCGCTCCGGGTGCTCCAGCCGGGCGCGGGCAGAACCATCCACGCCGCTCCCCACAGCCTCCGGGGGCTGGGACGCGTCCCTGCTGGCTGCAAGGAGTCTTCCTCACTGAGGCAGGCTGCCCTTCTGGCCCGTCCAGAGCTCGCGCAGCTCCACGCGGCAGCCCAGGTCCCTGAGGGCAGCCCTGGCCACGTCGTCGCAGTCGCGGTGCGCGGCGCGCGCCTCGGCGATCAGCGCCTCGGCGCCCAGCGCCAGGATGGGCCCGCACAGCTCCCGCCGGCGCGCCACCAGGTTCCGGATCAGCATGCACGCCTGCTTCTGGGGACAGCCGGGGGGTCACGGGGGGCTGCGGGGGCACGAGGGTCTGCAGGGGGTCGCCATGGGGGTCTGCAGGGGGTCGCCATGGGGGTCTGCAGGGAGCCACAGGGTCACAGGGGCCTGCAGGGAACCATGGGGGTCTGCAGAGGACCATGGGGTCACTGGAGTTGGTAGGGAATCACTGGGGTTTGTAGGGAAGCCATGGGGTCACTGGGGTCTGCAGGGAGCCATGGGGTCACTGGGGTCTGCAGGGAACCACGGGGGTCACTGGGGTCTGCAGGGAACCACGGGGGTCACTGGGGTTGATAGGGGATCACTGGTGTTTGTAAGGAAGCCATGGGGTCACTGGGGTCTGCAGGGAACCACGGGGGTCACTGGGGTCTGCAGGGAGCCACGGGGGTTACTGGGGTTGATAGGGGATCACTGGTGTTTGTAAGGAAGCCATGGGGTCACTGGGGTCTGCAGGGAACCACAGGGGTCACTGGGGTCTGCAGGGAACCACGGGGGTCACTGGGGTGACAAATGTAGGGGGGCAGCACTGAGTCGCTGCCTTCCCAACCTGTCAGAATTTGATGAGTAAAAGGGAAGGAAAATCCCAAAGAAAACAAACGAAGAGCCCTGCAGGCGCCGTGAGGGACACTCTCACCTGCACAGGCACCTCTCGGGGGTGAGCCTTCATGGCCTGCAGGGCTGCCAGGGCCCCGCCGCCCTCCACGATGACGCTGCAGTTCTCGGGCTTGCGCAGGGCCAGCATGCACAGGGCAGCACAGCCCTGCTCACAGATCTGCAACACACAGGGCAGCACGCTCACTGCCTGCGAGGCTGCCTCGCAGCCAAAGAAAACCCCAAAGTGGGGTTTCTTTCCTGTTATGGCAGTTTTGGAGGTGTTTTTATTGTTTTGAAGTTTCTCCCGCTGCGGCGTCCCGCTGCTCAGGGGAGGGCTGGAATAATGATCTTAGAGATATTCCCAACTATTCATAATTCTGTGTTTTGCATGCCAGAGGTATAAAACACCACCCCCACCATCCATCTGATTCAGGAATAAGAAAAATAAACCAATACAAGGTGGAAAACCCCTAAATGCACACCAACACTGGACAGTGCAGCCGCGCGCTCGCGGCTCGTCCACTGCCAGCTGCACACACACATCCTGCAGCTCCAGCTGAGCTCCGTGCCCATCCCAGAGGGAGCTCCCAGCCCTGGGGGTACCTGAGGGTTGCCCAGGTGCTGGCTGATGGCCAGCACGATGAGGTCGGTGGCCCCGGCGTCCACGATGGCGTCCTTGACGTCGTCGTTGCCGGCCACGGCGCGGATGGCGCTGAGCACCTGCTTCACCACGTCCTGCCCGGGGGAAACGGGGCAAAAAGCAGCACAGAGAGCTGGAGAGCTCAGAAAGCAAAGCAGGACATCCCCCATGCCACGAAAACGGCTGTGGTAATTACCAGCTACAACAACTCTACCCTCGGTCGCTCCCTCACTGCACAAGGGACCTTGGAAACCTCTGCCACACCATCAGCGAGGCTTAAAAAATCACACATCAACCTCTGGGACTTGAGCACCTAAATGCTTTGTTCAAAATCTCTTTTTGGTGGAAAACCAACCATTCAGCTCTTCTGGGAGCAGGCAGAGTTCTGCTGGTGGAGGCTGGAGGATGCAGGGATAACTCTGAGCAAGAAGCTCACAAATTTTACATTTAAAAATTTAAAAAACTAATTTAATTCTGTAAATAGGGATCAGAGGGGTTTCAACCCTGATTGCACCCAAATTATTGCACAGGCTAAGGCTCACTAATTAACATCAGCCTCCCTGCTGAGGATGAGATGCTCCCCAGCCCATCCCCAAACACCCCCAGTGCTCACCGGGTGCTCCATGCAGTCAGCCAGCAGAGTCACCATGAAATTCAAGCCCCCAAGGTCCACGATTTCCTGGCAGAACTCATTCCTGACTGAGAGGCGAGAGAGGGTGGCACAGAGCTCGCTGAGAACCCCCGAGTTATCCCTGAAGGCTGCGGAGGAGAGAGGAGGGACGGAGTCATTACTGCACAATTAACGGGGTTTACTTGGATTAATTACACAGGAAACATTTCATTTTATGTATTAAAACAGGGGAGATGACACTTGCTCACTCTGTTCCTAGCCAGGGCCCTAAACCTGTAAAATACTTCCTAAAAACAGTGAAAGACTGCTCTGCCCAGCTGACTGCTCCACAGCTATCAGCAGCACCACGGTGGCACTTCCTGGCCCGCTCAGGGCACATTTCATGGATAGAATGAAACCCCATTTGAGTGACAAATTCTTGAGTCGCCTCTGAGGAGCTTCAAGTTATGACAATGGGAGAAAAAAACAGACAATGGGGGAAGAAATCACAAACGATTCCCGAGAAGAAACCACAAGTGATTCCTGAGACAATGAGAAGAAATCACGAGTGATTCCTGAGAAGAGACCACAAGTGATTCCTGAGACAATGAGAAGAAATCACAAGTGATTCCTGAGAAGAGACCACAAGTGATTCCTGAGAAAGTGACAGAAACCACAAGTGATTCTTGAGACAATGAGAAGAAATCATGAGTGATTCCTGAGAAGAAATCACAAGCAATTCCTCAGAAGAGACCACAAGTGATTCCCGAGACAATGAGAACAGATCCCAGGTGCTTCCCCACCAGGATCAGCATCCCCAGGGCTCATTTTACCTTTTGCAGCCTCAATGAGGACTCTCAGCCCATCGTTCTCCAGCACGATCATCTTGGCGTGGTCGTGCGCGTGGCCGAAGGGCACACGGATGTCATCGTCGAACGTCATGACCCTGAGGGCCGAGGCTGCCACCCTGACCAGCTCGGCACTGCCGCCGCGCTGGCTGATGGCCCCGGTGAGGAGAGGCAGGACGCCGGCCCTGACGAAGGCCTGCCTGTTGTGCTCGTGCTTGAGGCAGGCGTGGCGCACGCAGCGGATCCCGGCCAGCGCCAGCTCGGCGTCGCCGCGCCGCTCCCGCAGGCTGCGCAGCAGCAGCTCCCGCCCCGCGGCGTCCAGCAGCTCCGGCTGCCCCTCCAGCAGGGCGCCCAGCGTGCAGAGGGCCTGCAGCAGCAGATCCCTGTCTGCTGCAGCCAGCTGGCAGGCGGCGAGCACGGCGGGGTAGGCGCCGCTCTGGCCGGCCAGGTGGCGGAAGGCGAACTGCTCCTTGCACTGCGCCGCCAAGGCCGCCAGCTGCTGGGGCAGCTGCGCCACGTCCTGCTCTGCCACCGCCCTGCCCAGGCACTCCAGGCTCTGAGGGACACACCAAGGGTTAGTTCTGCACCTGGGGCGTGCAGGAGGAACGGCAAGGTGCTTGTTGTGGGGTTGAAAATCGGTTTGGGGTGATGGGAGCGGCAGTTGTGGCGTTCATGGAGTTTGGGTTTGTGCACACAACCCCTGGGGGGACAGGGGCTCCCTCTGCCACAGCTCCACTGGGCACCAGTGCCAGCTGAACTGGGTCCAACCGGCTCATTCCAGCTCTGCAAGCGTCCTTGGCCAGGCTGGACAGGGCTTGGAGCAGCCTGGGGCAAGTGGGACTGACCCCAGCTTGTCCCCAGCCCAGAGCCACACCCTGTCACTCGTGGGACACCCCCAGGACGGGGACCCCAAACCTCCCTGAGCACCCTCCCCATGAGGAAATCCCTCCTGAGGTCCCAGCTGAGCCTCCCCCGGCACACCTTGAGGCCATTCCCTCCTGTCCTGCCCCGACACCACCTCACCCACACAGAGCCTTCCCTGAAACAGGCAAGGAGCTCCTGGAATGTTTTACACTTGCAGAAGAAATGGGAAGAACTGCCTGAAGAGCTCCCAGAGAAATGGGGCAGAGGCAGAAGTTGGCCTAGTATTATTATTATTATTATTATTATTATTATTATTACTTAACCCTGAGAGAGAGAGCAGCACTTTGTGCCCCTACCAGCAGGATTTGATGCTTTTGCCTCTGCCCGTTCTCAGAGGCAGGAGGTCGCACAGCTTTCACAATATTGCTCAGGTCCACACCTAAAAGGGGAAATAAAACCAAGTTTAATATTGCTTCCAGGATAACCAGAGTCAAATAAACAGTGTTAGTTGCAGTTCCAGGGAAAAGCTGCCAAGGTAACCACAGAGAACAAAGATGAACTTGTGAAGATGCTGAAATGTTCAATTCTGACTTCTGCCTGGAACAAAGCTAGGTGTCAGTTGAGGGGGGGAAAAAAGAAGGAATTTAATTTCACTGACCAAATTTTGCCCTCCAACTTCGCTCTAAGCAGTTTTGCAGTCATAATTAACCCACAAAACCAGGTCAGCATTAACGGTGTCTCTGTTCCACTTCACAAAGGCTCCTTCCCAACACTGCACGACCCATCTTTGCCTGCAGCCTTCCTTTAAACCCTGGCACTTCCAAAATCCCAGCCCTCCTTTAAACCCTGGCACTTCCAAAATCCCAGCCCTCCTTTAAACCCTGGCACTTCCAAAATCCCAGCACTCCTTTAAACCCTGGCATTTCCAAATCCCAGCCTGCAAAGCACACGGTACCTTGGGCCTCAAACTGCTGCACAGCTTCTCTCACAGCCTCCTCGGGCTCCATCTCGAACTCGGTGATGTTCTCCTGCACTGCATCATCAAACGTCTCCTGGGCGATCTGCTTGGAGCCCATGCTGCTGGGCTGGGCTGGATGCACCGGGGGCACAGCTCCTTTGGTACAGAACCTTCTAAGGGCCTGGATCCACCTCAGGGTCCTGCTGGAGAGAGGGACACAGCTCCTTTTTGTACATAACCTTCTAAGGGCCTGGATGCACCTCAGGGTCCTGCTGGAGAGAGGGACACAGCTCCTTTTGGTACAGAACCTTCTAAGGGCCTGGATGCACCTCAGGGTCCTGCTGGAGAGAGGGACACAGCTCCTTTGGTACAGAACCTTCTAAGGGCCTGGATCCACCTCAGGGTCCTGCTGGAGAGAGGGACACAGCTCCTTTTGGTACAGAACCTTCTAAGGGCCTGGATCCACCTCAGGGTCCTGCTGGAGAGAGGGACACAGCTCCTTTGGTACAGAACCTTCTAAGGGCCTGGATCCACCTGGGTCCTGCTGGAGAGAGGGACACAGCTCCTTTGGTACAAAACCTTCTAAGGGCCTGGATGCACCTGGGTCCTGCTGGAGAGAGGGACACAGCTCCTTTGGTACAGAACCTTCTAAGGGCCTGGATCCACCTCAGGGTCCTGCTGGAGAGAGGGACACAGCTCCTTTTGGTACAAAAACTTCTAAGGGCCTGGATCCACCTCAGGGTCCTGCTGGAGAGAGGCACAGCTCCTTTGTCTAATGGTTTTGTAACCTCTGTGTCCTGCTGCTGTCAGAGGCACAGCTCCTTTGGTACAGAACCCTCCAACACTTTTGTAACCTCTGTGTCCTGCTGCTGTCAGAGGCACAGCCCGTTTTGGTACAAAACCTTCCAAGGCCCAGCAGAACCCGAGCTTGTTCTACCCCGGGACAAACGCTCAGAACTCTGCATCAAAGATGCCCGGCCAAAGGCACGGCCGGTGTTTTATCTAATGGGGAAAACGCGGCAGGGAAGGGGGACAAGGAGACATTTCAGCAGCGTTCCCAGGGGTTTCAGGAGCTGTCACCGTGACGGGGCTGCAGCACGGAGGGCGCCGTGCCCGGCCACAGCCCCCGGCCCTCCGCCCGCCCTGCCCCGCTTCCCCCGGGCCCCGGCGCATCCCACGGCCCTCAGCAGCCCCGCAGCCCCCAGAGGCGCGGCGAGGGCCGCGAAGGGAGGCGGCGGTGCCGGGGGAGCCCCGGGGCGCGGCCCCGCTCCCCTCACACCCACCTGCGCTCCCGCCGCACAAAAGGCGAGGGCGGCACGGCCCCGCTCGGCCGCCGTACGCGCTCTCTGCGCATGCGCTGCGGCCCCAATTCGCACCGCCCGCCCTCACGCCGAGCGAAAAAGAGCGCGGGAGGGCGGCATCGCGCATGCGCACCGCTCCCGCGCACGCGCCGTAGGCGCAGTGTGCCCGGGCGCGCCCGCAGGGCAGCGGCTGCTCCCTCAGCGCAGGAGGCCGCGGGCCGCTCCCCTCGCTCCCGCCCCGCTTACCGGCAGCGCGCCCGCACCGTTAGTACCGCCCGCGCCCGCCGGCGGGGGATGCGGCGGCTCCGCGCAGCGCAGGAGCGGCGGGAGGGGGCGGGGCACGGCGGCGTGGTTAGCGCATGAGGGGGCGTGGCCCGCGCCAGGGAGAAGGCGTGGTTATACCGGTGAGGGGCGTGGCCTAGAGGGAGGCGTGGCCATCCGCGGTCTCCGTGAGCCCCGGGAGCGGCGGGAGGGGCGTGGCCATCGACGGGAGGGGCGTGCCTACCGGCGGGGGCGTGGCCAGCGGAGGCCCCGGTGTGGCGGGAGGCGGCGGGGCCGCCCGGGTGAGGCGGGCCGGGCTCGGCTCCGCGCCGGTTCCTCCTCCCGGCGCTGCGCGGGGAAGCGTGAGGGTCCCCTCAGGCCGCGCCTCCCCTCAGGCCGCGGCGGGAGCCCGGGCCCGCGCCAGGCCGTGCCGCGCCGCGCCGCTCCCGGTGCCGTGAGGGGAAGATGGCCTCTCGGAGGATCACCCGCGACACGTTCGAGGCCGTGGTGCAGGACAAGGCGCAGCGGTACCGGAGCGGTGCCGCGGGGGACGCCATCCATCATTTCCCAGGTAGGAGCGCCGGAGCAGCGCCTGCCGTGCAGCCATTCATTCATTACTGATGCATTTCTTCATTTATTTATTTAATTACTCGCCTGGCGCTGCTGCTTTTCCACACCCGTTTCTATGGAAGAGGCAGAACAGCTGGGCAAGGACTGGCACCGTAACGGGGGAGGGAAAAAAGGGAATTGAGACAAAGGAATTGTCTGGAGCACGGCGGAGCGCGTCCGGGTGCCGCGGGCTGGGGGTGGGTTTGCTGATGGCTTAAATAAAGGTGCGAGCGCTGCTGCAAGCCTCGGGCATCGTGCTTGCTGTCATTTTGGGGGAAAAGCTCAAAGCAGGGCATTGACCCCATGGGCACGGCACAAAATGTGGTCCCCAAGTTGTTTTACCTCCTAAATTTGGGATGTAAAATGTCCAGCAAGGTGCTTGGGTTGGGTTCACAGGGATGGACGTTCACAGGAGAGCTTTCAAATGAAGTCTGGTATTTTTAGAGTTGCATGAGCCCTGAAGAAATCATTTATATTAAACACTTCTATTTTTTTCCAAGTATTCTTTACTTTCTGAATTTAACTTCTGGCATTGGGGAATGAGGGTCTTGGATAACAAGAATTTCTTACAATAATGAGAGAATTGTGGTTGACTTTGTAGAAAATCCAAGTTTCTGCCCAGCTGTGGAATTCCTGCTGGGAATTCTGGTCTGGGTGACAAGGTGGGGATTGGCCAAAGCTTGGACTTGCAGCTCTTGGAGGTCTCTGACAATTTATAAATTCTGGGAAAGCTGAAAGTTCAGAGTTCTGATGGCTTTTATGCCTCAGGCAGAAGACCAAGACTTGAGACAGTGACGAGGGAAGGAAAACTTGTTTGGGGGAGAACTTGAGCTCTTGAATTTAGGGATTGGAATATGGGAATGGGAATATGCTGGCGTGGATTTCCTTCAGGAATCTCCCTGTTTGGACCCTTTCCAACCTCTAATTTCCGATTTCCTTGCCCAGCTCACTCGCGGCCGCTGCCCCGGCCGCGCTACAACGAGAGCTTCCCCCACGACGGGCGCTTCCCTCACGCCAACTGCCAGCCCCGGGACTGGGGCGAGGAGCCCGGCGAGGATTACCCTGGCGAGAGCTACCCCGGGGAGGACTATCCTGGAGAGAATTACCCTGGGGAGGACTATCCTGGAGAGAACTACCCCGGCGAGGATTACCCTGGCGAGAACTACCCCGGCGAGGATTACCCCGGGGAAAGTTACCCCGGCCCCTCCTACAGGGCCGCCAGCCCCCTGCTCCGCAAGGAGAACTATTTCCACGGCCAGTTCTCCCGGCCCGCGCCCCGGGAGCGGGAGTTGGGCCGGGATTACGGCAAGTTTGGCCGTGCAGCTGCCCCCGGCAGGGAGCACGGGCACCCCCCGGGCCGCGAGTACGGGCAGCAGCACCGCGAGTACGGGCAGCAGCAGCGGGACAGGGACTACGGGCAGCAGCAGCAGGGTTACGGCCCCTCCGATTGCTGGGAAGCCGGCGGGCAGCAGGCAGCGGGGTTCGGCTCCTCGGAGCTCTTGGGGGATTTCAGGTCTCCCGGGCTGCTGGAGGAGGAGTACGGCCCCGCGGAGGAGCAGGAGTACGGGGCGGCGGACAGCGCGTTCCGGCCGCCGCTGCGCAGGGGGGGCGCGGCCAGGGGGAGAGTGCTGAGGGGAAAACGCCCCACCCGGGGCGTGGGGAAACCCAAGGTGTTCAAAGCAGACACCAAAAGCCCCCTCAGGAAGTGGGGTGTGAAGAAAGCGCAGCCAGGCCTGGATCCCAAAGCTCTGGATCCGCCTCTGGAGGTGGCCGAGCACGCCGAGCAGAGGCCGCTGCCCCTCCAGCAGCACCCCAAGCTGCCCCTGCACCCCGCGGCAGCCCAGAGAGCCATCCTGAGGCTGCCAAAGCCCGCCCACGCCTTCAGGAACCTCAACTTCGACCTGGTGGACAAATCGGACATTTTCTCCACCTTCGGCATCGAGATCATCAAGTGGGCTGGCTTCCACGCCATCAGAAACGACGCCGAGTTCTCGCGGCTCTTCGGGGCCCTCTTCGAGCTGGAGACCGAGACCTGTGCCAAGATGCTGGCCTCCTTCAAGTGCTCCCTGAGGCCCGAGCACAGAGATTACTGCTTTTTCACCATCAAGAGCTTGCAGCACGCCGCCCTGAAAACCCCCAAGGTGGACAACGAGTTCTTGAACATGCTGCTGGACAAGGGGGCCGTGAAAACCAAGAACTGCTTCTTTGAGATCATCAAACCTTTTGACAAATACATCATGCGGCTCCAGGACCGGCTCCTCAAGGGGGTGACCCCGCTGCTGATGGCCTGCAACGCCTACGAGCTGAGCCTCAAAACCAGCGGCTTCGGCAACCCCAGGGACATGGCCAACGCCTTCGAGACCACCGTGTCCCTGTGCAGGAAGTCCCTGGCCCTGCTGGGCCAGACCTTTGCCCTGGCCTCTGTGTTCAGGCAGGAGAAAATCCTGGAGGCCGTGGGGCTGCAGGAGATGGCCCCAGCGCCCACGTCCTTCCCGAATTTCGACGACTCCACGCTCTTTGGGAGGGAGTACATCGAGAACCTGAAGGCTTGGCTGGACAAGAGTGGCTACCCCATCCAGATGAAAAGAGCAGAGGCAGCAGCCACGGGGCAGCTCGGAGCAGCCTCCCCCGGCCCCAGAGGTAACGGGGAGGGAGGGGCTCTGCAGGACGGGGGCATTTGTGGGCTTTGGTTGGGTCAGGAATTCCTGGCTGAGGGAGTTCCAGTCAGTCCCACTCAGGGAGGGAATTCCAGGTGAATCCCAGTCAGGGCTGGAATTCCAGGTGAATCCCAGTCAGGGCTGGAATTCCAGGTGAATCCCAGTCAGGGCTGGAATTCCAGGTGAAGCCCAGTCAGGGCTGGAGCAGGGATTAAATTCTGGGTGAATCCCAGTCAGGGCTGGAATTCCGGGTGAATCCCAATCACAGATGGCATTTCAAGTGAATATATATATACATTATACATTTATCTGTTTATTGGGATTTTCAAAGGGGTTTCTTTCTGCCCACAGCCCCCCAGCGAGCTGACAGGAAGGTTCTGGACACAATTGAGCAGCTGGTGAGCAGCATCGTGGCAGGAACTTTGTCTGCCAAGGACAGGAGTGCTCAGAAGAACTCTCCTGAATACTGGTGGGTGTGTGGGAGCTGGCTGGCAAATTTGGAGTAGATCAATTAAAACTTCAGCCCTTCACTCAATGGGAATGATCAAAGCCTGTTGTATATTTAATTAGGGTTTTTTTAGGGGGGGAATGTTTTCCTGGAGTTCATTATCCCTGGGAATGATCCTGTTGTTGCTTTTGATGTGCCAATAATGGCTCTCAAATTCAAGGTGTTCAAAGGAATTTGCATTTTAGGAGCAAATTCAGGTGGTGGAGACATCCAGCAGGGTGCCAGGGTCTAGAATTCCAGGGAAAATGTGGAAAAGGGGGAGCTGAGCCACCTCCAGGTGTGTGAGCTGATGAATTCCTGTCAAACCCCTCCAGGATTTCATGTCTTGAAATCTTGTCAAACCTGCTCAGCCTCCTGCTAAACACCTGGGGAAAAACAAACAAACTGGAATGCTGAGGGATTTTACTTTAAAAATGGAGATTTTCAGCTGATCCCTCCTTTTTCTGTGTTTCTTAGGTTCCTGTGTGACGAGGAGAGCCTGGAGTACAAATACTACAGTAAAAATGGATATTTTAATCTGATTTTTCCCTTTTTCCTGTGTTTCTCAGGTTCCTGTGTGACGAGGAGAGCCTGGAGTACAAGTACCACAGTAAAAATGGATATTTTTAGCTGGTTTTTCCTTTTTCTGTGTTTCTCAGGTTCCTGTGTGACGAGGAGAGCCTGGAGTACAAATACTACAGGCTGAGGCTGTCGGAGGTGCAGAGGAGCAGCCTGGCAGGGGAGGCAGCAGCCCCGGAGTCCCTCAGGGCCATGCTCTATGCCAGGAGAGTGGCCAGCATCAAAAGGAGACTTTTCAAGCACAAAAAAAAGCCCGTCCTTGTCCCTGCCCGTGCCAGGAGGGTGAGGAGGGCGAGCACGGGCACCCAGACCCTGCTGTCAGCTGGCACCGTGCTGAAACAGCCAGACAAAAATCCTCCAGGTGCCAAGGCTGGCCTGGCACAGCCCGGGCTGGCCCAGCCTGGCCTGGCTGCCACCAGCTGTGCCCCTCAAGGTGCCACCAGCTGTGCCCCTCAAGGTGCCACCAGCTGTGCCACTCAAGGTGCCACCTCCTCAGCCCCCCAAGGTGCCAGCTGTGCCCTCCAAGGTGCCACCTCCTCAGCCCCACAAGGTGCCAGCTCTGACCCTCAAGGTGCCACCTCCTCAGCCCCACAAGGTGCCAGCTCTGACCCTCAAGGTGCCAGGTGTGCCACTCAAGGTGCCACCTCCTCAGCCCCAGAAGGTGCCAGCTGTGCCCCCCAGGGTGGCAGCTGCTGCCAGGTGCCCGAGGCAGCAGAGGCAAGAGCAGATCCCCAGGCTTTGGCCGCGGCTCCCGAGCTCCTCCCAGGCCTGGGCTCGCCCTTTGCTGAGGGTGAGTGAGGCTGGGGAGGCTGGGAGTTAAATTGTGCAGGAAACAAACAGGCTGGCTTGGGAATTTCATTGTAGCAGGGGGAGAAAGTGGGGTAAGAGCTGGAATTTCATTATAACAGGGAAAGAAAATGGGGTTGGATTGGGAATTGAAATTATAGCAGGGAAAGAAAATGGGGTAAGAGCTGGAATTGAAATTATAACAGGGAAAGAAAATGGGGTTGGATTGGGAACTTAAATTATAGCAGGAAAAACTAAGGGGTTAGATTGGGAATATTAAATTATAGCAGGGAAACAAACATGAGTTAGATTGGGAATTTTGAATTATATCCAAGAAAAATTAGCATGGGGTTAGATTGGGAATTTTAAATTATAGCAGGGAAACAAAATTGGGTTGGATTGGGAATAACAAACAGGGGTTAGATTTGGGGTTTTAGGTTGTAGCAGGGAAAACAAACAGGGCTTAGATTGGGAATTTTATATTACAGCAGGGAAAAAACTAACATGGGGTTAGATGGGGAATTTTAAATTGTGTCCAGGAAAAATCCCAAACTTCTGCTGTAATTCACAAAAATTCCTGCTGGAAGCCCCAAACCTAATTTCTTTTATGTTGTATTTATGCAGTTCTCACCTGCACTGGTTTGGGGTTAGATTTGGGATTTTTAATTATAGCAGGGAACCACACAGGGTTTAGATTGGGAATTTTAAATTGTGTCCAGAAAAAGAAAGCAAACTTCTCCTGCAATCCACACAAAGCATTCCTGCTGGAAACCCCAGCCCCCATTCCTTGCACTGTGGGTTTTGAAGTCCTCAGCTGCCCTGAGCCTTTTCAGCAGAGCCTTTTGCTCCTTGCAGTGGATGCCAAAACCATGGAAACGGCAGAGAAGCTGGCCAGGTTTGTGGCCCAGGTAGGACCAGAGATTGAGCAGTTCAGCATTGACAACAGCGCAGATAACCCCGACCTCTGGTGAGTCCCAGCTCCTCCTTGCCTCCCCTTCCTGCTCAGATCCCTGCATTTGGGCATTTTGGGAACAGGGGCTTTGGGGCCATTCTCCAGCGCCTGCGTTAATGGTGAATATCTGAAATATCTCAGAAAAAACCCACTTATGTATAAATGCATTGATTTCTGAGCGTCACCTTGATTTGTTTTTGAGCCTAATCACCAACCTGAACCCTGAACCTGGGAATTTTCAAGATGATTCCAATGAATTCATTCATTCTTCCCAATGAATTATTTCATTCTTCCCACTGAATTCATGAATTCTTCCCAATTAATCCTTTCTAATGAATCCATTCATTCTTCCCACTGAATTCATTCATTTTTCCCAATTAATTCTTCCCAGAAGCATTTGGGAAATGCTGCTGAGCTGGAGGGGAAGTTGCTGTTTTTAGGAAGGGAATCTCCCATTTCTCCCCAAAACCACCTGCCCTGGCCACTCCAAAATCAACCAGAGATTTATTCCTAAACTCTTACGTCATTCCAGCTGAAGAAAATCTCTTTTTGACCTTAATTTCCTTGGACTTTTGACCTTATTTCCCCTGCATTTTCGGCCTTATTTCCCCTCCATTTTTTGCCTTATCTTCCCTTGGTTTTTGACCTTGTTTTCCCTGGATTTTTCCCCTTATTTCTCTGGCTTTTTGACCTTATTTCCCTGGATTTTGGACCATATTTTCCCCTGGATTTTTGCCTTATCCTCCTTGGATCTTTCACCTTGTTTCCCCTGAACTTTTGACCTTGTTTTCCTTGTATTTTTGACCATATTCCCCTGCATTTTTGACCTTTTTTCCCTGGATTTTTGACGATATTTCCCCCTGGACTTTTGACCTTACTTCCCCTGCATTTTTACCCTTATTTCCGCTGCATTTTTGACCTTATCTTCCTTGGATTTTTGATATTGTTTCTTTGGCTTTTTGACCTTTTTTTCCCCTGGATTTTTGACCTCATCCCCCTGCATTTTTCCCCTTATCCCCCTGCATTTTCCCCCTTTCCCCCTCATTTTTATTCCTCATTTCCCATTTCCTCGCCCCAGGTTCCTCCAGGACCAAACCAGCCCTGCCTTCAAATTCTACCGCATGAAAGTCTTGGAGCTGTGCCCCTCCATCACCTTCAGCCCCGAGGCTGCAGAAGCTGCCAGAGCTGCAGGGCCAGCCCTGGACATGGAGGAGGAAGAGGAGGAGGAAGAGGAGGAGGAAGAAGAAGAGGAAGAAGAAGAAGAAGAAGCTGAGTTTGAACCCTCCCAACCTGATGAGGAGGATGAGGAGGATGAGGAGGACGTGGCAGCAGGTAGAAGGGTGACAAAGCTAGAGGAAGATGTGGTGTCCAGAGCAGGAGAGGAGGTGTCAGGAGGTGAAGTGCAGCTCTCCAGCCCCCCTGACGGCGCTGTCCCAAATCTGTCGACACAGGCACCCGGCCCGGGCCCCGGCGCGCGCTTCCCCCGCAAACGGGTCAGCTCCAAGTCCCTGAGGGTGGGCCTGATCCCGGCCCCCAAACGGATCTGCCTCATCCAGGAGCCCAAAGGTCAGTGGGCACTGAAAGGGTTCAATTCTGTACGCAAAAAAGGGGAATCTGGGCAAAAATCCCCATTTTTTAGGTGTTGTCGCTTCACAAAATGGCCTCTCTTTAGTGCAAAGGGGTCAGCTCCAAGTCCCTGAGGGTGGCCCAAAAGGATCTGCCTCATCCAGGAGCCCAAAGGTGGGTAACCATCAAAATGGTTCCGTTTTTTTGTAAAATAGAGGAGAATTTGGGGAAAAAATCCCCTTTTTTAGGTGTTATCAATTGAAAAAATGGCCTCTCTTTAACGCGAAGGGGTCAGCTCCGAGTCCCTGAGGGTGGGCCTGATCCCGGCCCCAAAGGATCTGCCTCATCCAGGGGCCCAAAGGTCAGTGGGCACTGAAAGGGTTACATTTTATAGTAAAATAGATGAGGATTTGGGGAAAAAATCCCTTTTTATAGGTGATGTTCTTTAAAAAATGGCATTTTTTCAATGCAAAGTTCAGCTCTGAGTCCCTGAGGGTGGGCCTGATCCCGGCCCCAAAGGATCTGCCTCACCCAGGGGCACAAAGGCGGGTGGGCATTGAAGTATTTCACTTTTACATTAAAATAGAAGAGAATTTGGGCAAAAATCTGAATTTTTAGGTGTTTCCTTGCTGGTTGTTGCTTAAAAAAATCACTTTTTTTCCTACAAAAATGCACAGAAAATTCACTTTTAAAAAAGAAGCTGAAGAAATCATTTGTTATGGGCCAATCTATTTCTATTAAATTGAGTATATATTGAATTTTTTCATGAATTCTGGTCTTTTTTATTGCTCTAATTTTTCTTGTTGCTTCTGTTTTAGGTCCAGGCTTGAAATGCAAATATTTGGAGGATTTTTAAGCTGTGGTTTGGAGGTTTTTTACTAAAATAATTTGAATTTCCAGCTGAGTTTTGTGGTTTTTTGCCTTGCAGTGCATGAACCTGTCAGGATTGCTTATGACAGACCCCGGGGCTGCCCTGTCACAAAGAAAAAAAAGGTAAAAAATTCACATTTCTGCCCCAAAATCCAACCAGAAATGAGAAATGGTTTGGGAAAAAAAAATCTGGAAAGAAGGAAATTAATTTTAAAAAATTTATTGAAAATTTCCTTTTAAAGAAGGAAATTATTGTAAGGAAATTCATTTGAAAATTCCTTTAAAAATCCTTTAAGAGTAGGAAATTCTTTTTAAAAAATCCTTCAAAAATCCTTTTAAATGAAGGAAAATTCCTTTAAAATCTCATTTAAAAGGAGGAAATTCCATTGAAAACATTCAGTTTGATGGGAATTTCACCCATTTCACCAACCCCTAATAAATCCCTTTGTTTTTTCTAAATTTATTTTCCTTTTGCCCTGAAGCCCAGGGCTGTGGTGGTGCCCCAGAAGAGGCTGAGCCCCAGGAACTTAAAAATTCCTTTAAAAAGAGGAAATTCCTTTAAAAATCCTTTTTTAAAGAGGGGAAATTCCTTTTAAAAAATTCCTTTAAGAGTAGGAAATTACTTTTAAAAAAATCTTTTCAAAAAAACTATAAAAAATAAGAAAATTCCTTTAAAAACTCCTTCAAAAAAAGGGAATTTCCTTCAAAAAAATTCAATTTCCGCCAGTCCAGATTGGAATTTCCCCATTGCTCCGACCCCTAACGAATCCCTTTGTTTTTAGGATTTTGATTTTAAATGCCCTTGTGTTTTGGCAGAAGGCCAGGGCTGTGGAGGCGCCCCAGAAGAGGCTGAGCCCCAGGAACGTGGGCTTCCAGATGCTGCAGAGGATGGGCTGGCAGGAGGGGCACGGGCTGGGCACGCGCGGCCGCGGCATCCGGGAGCCCCTGCACCTGTGAGGGTTACAGGGGGAGAATAGGGGATTTATAGGGGGATTTATGGGGGAAAAATAGGGGGATTTATGGGGGGAAAATAGAGGATTTATTGGGGGATTTATGGAGAAAAATAGGGGAATTTTTAGGGGGATTTATGGGGGGAAATTGGGGATTTATAGGAGGATTTACAGGGGGAGAATAGGGGATTTATAGGGGGATTTATGGGGGGGGAAAGGGGATTAATGGGGGATTTATGGGGGGAAAATAGGGGGATTTATAGGAGGAAAATTGGGGAATTTCTATGGGGATTTACAGGGCAAAAAAGGGGATTTATGGGAGAAAAAAAAGGGGGATTAATGGGGGGGGAAGGGGTTTTAATGGGGGAAATAGAGGTTTAATAGGGGAAAATAAGAGTTTTTAATGGGGGAAATTCAGAGTTTTTAATAGGGGAAAATAGAGATTTAATATGAGAAACTCCCTAAATTCCCATAGAATTCCCTTTTATCCAGAATTCTTTGCCATTCTCTGTTTCCTCCTCAAATCCTCTGGACCTGAATTCCTGAAATCCCAAATTCAAGAGTTTTTGGAGCATTTTTTCACCAGAAAACCAAACCTAAACTTCAAATTTACTCCACAATTCCCTCTCCCACCTATTTTCCCCCACAAAATCCCATTTTTCAACTGGGAATTCCCAACCTAATGGAAACTGGGGGAGAAAATTCAAAATAGTAATTCAAAATAATTCAAAATAATTGGCTGCACCAGGCACCAAATGATGCAAAATTGGTTGGGAAAAATCCGATTTTTTGGTTTTGATTGTGAAATTTTCTTCCCCAGGGGTGCAACCTCTGCTGGGGAGGGTTTGGGAGTGGCAGGGGAAGAAAACCAAGAAGATGCTTTTGACATTTTCCGCCAGAGGATGATCCAGATGTACCGGCAGAAAAGGGCAAACAAGTAGGTGAGTGCCCAGTCCTGCAGAATTCCGTGTGCACCACAGTTCCTCCTTTTCCTGCAGTCTGGGGAGCGTGCAGGGCACCTCCTGAGGAGCCCTGGAGGTGCTGAGCCACCCCAGAACTTTCATTTTTGGAGACTTTTCTGATTTCTGAGGTTCGGGAGGTGCGGAGGGACCCCGAAATCTTCATTTGCTGAAGTTGTTCAGATTTCTGAGGATTTCTTTTCCCTCTCTTTTCCCTCCTTTTTTCCCCTTTTTTTCTCTTTTTTTTTTTTTTTTGTCTTTTTCCCTCTTCTTCCCCTCTTTTTTCTCTTTTTTCCCTCTTTGTTCTCTCTCTCTTTTCCCCTCTTTTTCCTCCTTTTTCTCTCTTTTCTCTCATTCCAGCTCCAGGCTCTCTTCCATGAAGACCCCAGGGCCCCTCCCCTCCCTCCCGTGCTCTCTCTGCTGGATTTGGTCGGATTTCCCTGGAATTCCACCCCAAACTCTGGATTTTCCACCCCAAACTCTGGATTTTCCACCCCAAACTCTGGATTTTCCACCCCAAACTCTGGATTTTCCACCCCAAACTCTGGATTTTCCACCCCAAACTCTGGATTTTCCACCCCAAACTCTGGATTTTCCATCCTAAATTCTGGATTTCCCTGGAATTCCACCCCACACTCTGGATTTTCCATCCTAAATTCTGGATTTCCCTGGAATTCCATCCCAAACTCTGAATTTTCCCTGGAATACCATCCCAAACTCTGGAATTCCATCCTAAATTTCAGATTTTCCCTGGGATCTACCCCAAACTCCAGATTTTCCACCCCAAACTCTGATTTTTCCATCCAAACATCTGATTTTCAACCCCAAACTCTGCATTTTCCCTGGAATTCCACCCCAAAACTCTGGATTTTTCCATCCAAACATCTGATTTTCAACCCCAAACTCTGCATTTTCCCTGGAATTCCACCCCAAAACTCTGGATTTTTCCATCCAAACATCTGATTTTCAACCCCAAACTCTGCATTTTCCCTGGAATTCCACCCCAAGTTCTGGATTTTCCCTGGGATCCACCCCAAACTCTGGATTTTCCACCCCAAATCCCAGATTTCCCATCCCAAATTCCAGATTTTCCCTGGAATTCCACCCCAAAACTCTGGATTTTTCCATCCAAACATCTGATTTTCAACCCCAAACTCTGCATTTTCCCTGGAATTCCACCCCAAGTTCTGGATTTTCCCTGGGATCCACCCCAAACTCTGGATTTTCCACCCCAAATCCCAGATTTCCCATCCCAAATTCCAGATTTTCCCTGGAATTCCACCCCAAATTCCCTCCTTTCCGTGCAGTTTTCCATCCCAGGAGGGGCAGATGAAGATTTTCCCCATTTTGGTGTCAGTAACCTTTGGTGGAAATGTTCAATAAATGTAGAGCTGGACACTTCTGCTGCCTCTGATGTCTCATTGGGATTTTTTTGGCCCTTTGCAGGAGATGTGCATTTTTATTTTAATTAAATTAATTTTTTTTGCTGGAATTTGGAATTCCTCTGGATGCAGAGCAGGATTTTGGGGTCAAAATCCATTTTTGGGATGGGATTCCTCACCAAAAACTGGAATTAATTCTTTCCCAAAAAATCAATATACAACTTTTTTTTTTTTTCCTCTTGACCTCCCACTCCCAATTTTTATTTTGCCCAAATAAAGCCTGGCCCCAAAAATCCAAATATTCTCCTTTTGGCTTCTTCCTATCCTAATTAAAACAAAATTAAAATTTAATTTCCATTTTTAATCCTGCATATCTCACAGCTGAGTGGCCAAGCACAACCTGAGGTGGGTTTGAGCAATAAAACACCCGAAAAATCAGAATAAAACACCCAAAAAATCAGAATAAACACCCAAAAAAATCAGAATAAAACACCCGAAAAATCAGAATAAAACACCCGAAAAATCAGAATAAAACACCCAAAAAATCAGAATAAAACACCCAAAAAATCAGAATAAACACCCAAAAAAATCAGAATAAAACACCCGAAAAATCAGAATAAAACACCCGAAAAATCAGAATAAACACCCGAAAAATCAGAACATGCTGGAACCACCACGGGGTTTTTCTGAAATCAATCCAGTTTTGGGGTTTTGGTGACCTGGGTTCGGTTTGGAGCTGGGACTGGTGGAGTTCTCTGTGCCAATAAAATTCTGGTGTTGGAATTCCGGTGTTTGGGGTCTTGGTGTTTGGGATTTTGGGGTTTGGATTTGGGGGTTTGGGATTTCGGGGTTTGGGGTTTCGGGGTTTGGGAATTTGGGGTTTGGTGTTTAGGATTTTGGCGTTTGGGATGTGGGGTCTGGGATTTGGAATTTTGGGGTTTGGGATTTTGGGGTTTGGAAGTTTGGGCTTTAGGATTTTGGGGTTTGGTGTTTGGGATTTTGGTGTTGGGATTTTGGACTTTGGGGTCTGGGATTTGGAATTTTGGGGTTTGGAGTTTGGGATTTTGGAGTTTGGGTTTTGGGGTTTCCTGCGGTCCTGTGGGGTCAGGGTGGGAGGGACCTCAAAGCCCATCTGGGGACACCCTGGGGACACCCTGGGGACACCCTGGGGACACTTTGGGGACACCCTGGGGACACCCTCTGCCATCCCAAGTGTCCCCGTCCCTGTCCCCTCCCTGCAGCCCCGTCCCCCCAAGTAGGGCAGAGCCCTCCTGCCCCCCCAGAGCTCTCATTAATTACCTGCCCCAATTAAGCCGGGCTAATTGCCCGGCGGGAGGGAGGATTTGCTGCAGTCTGGAGGCTCCTGGTGCCACAAATCCCAAATATTGGCTTGGAAATTACAAATATTTTATGAAAACTTCTGGGGAAATTGTTTGGAGGGGCTAAAAAAGGGAAAAGGAGAAAAAAAGAAATGGGGGAAATGGGTCTGAAACCTCTGGGCAGGGAGGAATAATTTCAAAATAATAATTGAAATAATTGAAAATCATTTCAAGTCCCTGTAAAACCGGGATTGCAGCGGCCTCAGGGGCACAGGGAGGCTTTAATGAGCTGCTTTAAACGGAAAATTGAAGGTGAATTTGGGGTATTTTTAGTGCTGAAGGATGAATTTCTGTCCTTGGGAACACAAAAGTGGCTCAGGGGCCGTTTGAGAGAGGAATTTTGAGCAGGTGTGGAAAAAAAAAGGGAATTTTGGGGTTAAAAGCAGCGGCTGGTGAGAGATCCTGGGGTTTCTTGGAGGAGAAGGGGGAGCCCTGCAGGGGTTTAAATTCCAGTGATTTAAATTGAAATACTGAAAATTTAAAATCTAAAATATACTTGAACCCTAAATAACATTTGTTAAAATATTAGCAGTGTTTAACTCAGAAATCCCAAAGTGACAAAATATCAGAGGGCGAGAGGAAATCCAGAGAAAGGGAGAATTTCTGGTTGGTGGGGACAGGGGAGGGGACAGGGATTGGGACAGGGGACAAGGGGCAGGGTGGGGACACTGGGGGACAGAGGGGACACCTGGCACAGGGAAACAGCGCAGGACGGCGAGGAGAGGAGAGGCTGAGTGTGAGCAGGGGGGTTTCACACCCGGGATATCACACCTGGGTTATCAAACTCGGGTTATCAAACTCGGGTTATCACTGGTGTTATCGCACCCGGGTTATGACTCAGGTTATCACACTCAGGCTCCCTCACCCGGGTTATCTCACCTGTGTTATCACACCCGAGTTATCACACCCCAGTTATCACTCAGGCTATCACACCCGGGTTATCTCACCCGGGTGGAATTCTGGATTCCAGGGCTGGGGGGTTTTGGGATTTTGGGGCCCAGAGAACCCCAACGACGGGAGGGTTTTGTGCTGCAGACGGGTCCGGAGGTCAGAGCTCCTGTGCCCGGTGACCCCGGCCCGCTGTCCCCGGCAGGCGGTGGCACCGAGGGTGGCACCGAGGGTGGCACCGAGCCCGCTGTCCCCGGCAGGCGGTGGCACCGAGGGTGGCACCGAGGGTGGCACCGAGCCCGCTGTCCCCGGCAGGTGGTGCTGCCGGCGCCGTGAATAAAGTCGGGAGAAGAAAAGCGGCCAAACGTGAGCGGGATGGGGCGGCGGGAGCGGGGAGGGACCGGGTAGGGAGCGGGGAGGGACCGGGCAGGGAACGGCAGGAGCGGGCAGGGACTGGTTCGGGATCGGCAAGGACCGGGCGGGACCGAGCAGGACCGGGCAGGGAGCGGATAGGACCGGGCAGGAGCGGGCAGGAGCGGATAGGACCGGGCAGGAGCGGGCAGGACCGGGCAGGACCGGGCAGGAGCGGGCCGGGAGCGGGCAACAAAGAGCTGGGTCCGGCCGGGCCGCGGGGCAGCGCTCGGTGCGGCGGGAGGAAGGCTCGGAGAGGCACCGGCCCCATCCAGCCGCTCCCTGCCGGGCTGGGAGCGAACGAGGGAAGCGGGCAGCAGCGGCGGGGAGCCCCGGGACCGATCCCGAGCCCCTCCCGGGGCCGCTCCCGGTGCCGGTGCCGCTCCCGGTCCCATTGTCTCTCCTGGAGCCGCTCCCGAGGGCACTCCCGGTACCGCTCCCGACCCCGGTACTGATCCCGACCCCGGTGCCGCTCCCAATCCCGGAGCCACTCCCGGTTCCGATCCCGGTACCGATCCCGGAGCCCTTCCCGGTACCGCGGAGCAGCAGCAACGCTTCAAAGTGAAATTCCGGAGGAAATTTAAAGAGCATCCGGATCCGGAGAAAGACAGAAAGAAAGAGGAAGGGGAGAAGGAGGAGGAGGAGAAGGAGGAGGAGGCGGCGGCGGCGGCGGCTGGCGAGGCTCGGTGCCGGTACCGGCGGGGATGGGGTGAGAGCCGCGGCCGGTTCTGCCTCTGCCTTTGTTCTGCACGGCGGCCGAGGCAGCGGGGACGGGAACCGAAGGGTTAAATCGCTTTTCCCCCTCGCTTGCAGCTGGAAAGTTTCGCCTCGCCTTTTATTTTTGGGCTGGGGAAGTGCGGAATGGCGAGTTGGTACAAGTTCATTAAATTAAATTAAATTAATTCGTGTGGAAGGGAAAGCTCCGCGGTCTGTGGAGCCCGAACCGGGCGGGCTGGAGCGGGGCTGAGCCCAAAAACTTCCCCGGGACTTGAAAATTCGGGATTTTCCTGCGTTTGTCGCGGCTCTGGGGTGGGGAAGATGGAGCCGGGAGTTGCCGGGGCCGGGCCGGGGCCGGGGGTCCCGGGGTGGGGACTCCCGGGGGTCCCGGGGCTCGGGGCTGGGGGCTCCCGGGGCCGGGGGTCCCGGGGCTCGGGGCCGGGCCGGGGGCTCGGAGCTGCGGTTCCGATCCCGCGGCTCCTCCGGAGCGGAGCTCTGCGGGCTGCCGGGGGGCTTGGGGGGCTTTTGCGGGTTTTGGTGGATTTTGGTAAGTCTGGGCGGGTTTTGGGAAATTCGGGTGGATTTGGGCGGGGTTTGGTGGGTTTCGGTGGGTTTGGGTGGATTTTGGCTGATATTGGGTGGGTTTTGGTGGATTTTCGTGGGTTTTGGCGGGTTTTGGTGCATTTGGGTGGGTTTTGGTTGATTTTGGAGGATTTTGGCTGACTTTGGTGGGTTTTGGCGGATTTTGTTGGCTTTTGGTGAATTTTGGTGGATTTTGGTAGCTTGCTGTGGGTTTTGGCTGTTTTTGGCAGGTTTTGGCTAATTTTGGCTGATTTTGGTGGGTTTTGGCTGCTGACTTTGGCTGACTTTGGCTTATTTTGGCGGGTTTTGGTGGATTTTGGCTGATTTTGGCGGCTTTTGGCGCGGGACAGGAGCTGGGCTGGGTTCGTGTCCCAGCCCCGGCACTTTCAGGAGTTTCTGTGCACTCGAGTCTGGAGAATCCTGTCAGGGCATTCCCTCCGAGCCTGAAAATTTTCCATTTTCCTTTAAAAAATCAATTTTTTAAAATTTTCCTTTTTTAAAAAATTTTCCTTTTAAAAAAATTTCCATTTTCCTTTTTTCTTTTTAATTTCCCACTTTCATTTTTTAAGAATGTTCCTTTTGGGGCCGAGGTTGGGGAGGCAGGGGTGAGGATTGAGCAGTGACAGGACGTGAGGCTGGCAGAGCCTTTGAAGCTGGCAGGGATGTGCTGATCCCAGTTAAATCAGGTTTGGGTTTTTTTTCCTGCTGCTCTGAAACTGCCAGACCTGCCAGGAGAAGCTTAACAGGGCCAGACCTCGGGACTAGGCTCCTCCTTACTTCATTTATTTGTTTATTATTGTCCTCCTTATTTCATTTATTTGTTTATTATTATCCTCCTCATTTTATTTTTGCATTTTCGGGGATGTGTGAAGGATCCCTGAGCTGCAGCCTGGTGTTTCGTTTTTAAATTTTAATTGCTAAATCCAGTTTGAAATGTTTAAATTTTTAATTCCGTGGTAGCAGCGCTGGTGTCCCAGAGCAGGAGGGGGAAGGGCACACCCGGGAGGCTCCGTGATTCCAGGGAAATTCCATTTGGGGGTCTGAGCCCCCCCGGGTGTGGGTGACCTTGCTCTGCTGTCCCCAGGCAGCTGCTCGGGATTCCTGCAGGGAAATCTCCTGGGAACGGGGCAGAGCCAGATCCTATTCCTGGAGCTGCTCCTCCCAGCGCGGCCTGGGACCTGCTGGGGAGGGGAAATCTGCCTGGGGAGCCAAACCTTGTCCCCAAAACCCCAAATCCTGCCTTGGGAGCCAAACCTTGTCCCCAAAACCCCAAATCCTGCCTTGGGAGCCAAACCTTGTCCCCAAAACCCCAAATCCTGCCTTGGGAGCCAAACCTTGTCCCCAAAACCCCAAATCCTGCCTTGGGAGCCAAACCTTGTCCCCAAATCCTGCCTTGGGAGCCAAACCTTGTCCCCAAAACCCCAAATCCTGCCTTGGGAGCCAAACCTTGTCCCCAAAACCCCAAATCTGGATTTTTGGAATCCAAACTTTGTCCCCAAAGCCCTTGTGCAGTTCAGTGTCCTGGGGAGGAACCATGGGATATCCTGGGCTGTGGAATATCCTGGGATGAATTGTGGAATATCCTGAAATGGAGAATTCCCTGGGCTAGGGAACATCCTGGATTGGGATGTGGAATATCCCGGGCTGTGGAATATCCTGAATTGAAATGTGGAATATTGTGGATTGAAATGTGAAATACCCTGGGCTGTGGAATATCCTGGATTGTGGGATATCCCGGGCTGTGGGATATCCCGGGCTGTGGAACACCCTGGATGGACGGGATCACCCAGCCCTGCCCAGGAGCAGCCCCGGGATTCTCCTGCACCCCCAGGGGCTCTGCAGGGCTGGAGTCTGGGGGTGACTGCTATCAGCCCCAGCTCCCCTGACAGACTGACAGCCCTGACAGACAGACAGACAGCCCTGACAGACAGCCAGCACTGAGAGACAGCACCGGCAGCAGCTCCTGGGCCTGCGGAGGGGAGATAAAAGGAGAGCAGACAGCCCTGGAGGAGGAGGAGGGTTGGGCTCCCAGCCCCTCTCTGTGCCCCAGTTCTGCTTTTGGGGTCCTGGGGGATCCTCCCTGGGATTGCCGGGGATCCTCCCTGGGATTGCTGGGGATTGTCCCTGGGATTGCTGGGGATTCTCCCTGGGATTTCTGGGGATTGTCCCTGGGATTGCCGGGGATTGTCCCTGGGATTGCTGGGGATTGTCCCTGGGATTGCTGGGGATTGTCCCTGGGATTGCCGGGGATCCTCCCTGGGATTGCCGGGAATTGTCCCTGGGATTTCTGGAGGATTCTCCCTGGGATTGCCGGGGATTGTCCCTGGGATTGCTGGGGATTGTCCCTGGGATTGCCGGGGATCCTCCCTGGGATTGCCGGGAATTGTCCCTGGGATTTCGGGGATTGTCCCTGGGATTTCGGGGATTCTCCTGGGCAGGGAGGGAGGGCCTGGCTCAGCCCCAGGCTGGGCTCCCAGCTGACTCAGCATGGCCAGAGGCCAGGGCTGGGCTGGTTCCTGTCCTGTCCTGTCCTAATTCCTGTCCTGTCCTATCCTAATTCCTGTCCTGTCCTAATTCCTGTCCCCTTCACTCATTCCTGTCCCCCTCACTCATTCCTGTCCCCTTCACTCATTCCTGTCCCCCTCGCCCCTCCCTGCCCTGCAGATCCCACTCAGGGAGAGGCCCCTGAGGGGAGAGCCCAGCCCGGGACACTCGAGGACAGCCCAGCCCGTGTGACACCCATGGCAGGGCCGTGACACGCGTGACAGGGCTGTGACACCCATGGCAGGGCCGTGACACCTATGGCAGGGCCGTGACACGCGTGACAGGGCTGTGACACCCATGGCAGAGCCGTGACACCCATGGCAGGGCCGTGACACCCATGGCAGGGCCGTGACACCCGTGACAGGGCCGTGACACCCGTGGCAGGGCCGTGACACCCCTGGCAGGGCCGTGACACCCCTGGCAGGGCTGCCCAGCTCCTGTGACACCCGTGGCGGGGCTGGCTCGGGTCCTCCCCAGCCCTGGCACCCCCCGTGCCCGCTGCCCCCTCCAGGCCCAGCGTGGTGCCAGTGCTGGCCCTGCTTGGTGCCATCTGTCCCTCCTGGCACGGGGCTGCTGGCCCCTGGCCCTGTGTCACCGTGTCCCCAGCTCTCCTCGCCCTGCTGGGCCATTGCTGCTCTGGCCAGGACTGAGTGAACTGAGATCACAGATAAGAAATCACAGATCACAGATAACAGATCACAAATCACAGATAAGAAATCACAGATCACAGATAAGAAATCACAGTGAAACATCCCTTCCTTCCCCTGCTGCTGCTGCGGGGCTCCAGGGGACTCCCACTGAAAAAGGGGTGATTTTAATGGATATTCACTAAATTAAGGGGTGCTTTTAAAGGATATTCACTAAAAGAAGGCGAGCTTTTAACGGATACCCACTAAAAGAAGGGGTGCTTTTAATGAGTATCTACTAAATTAAAGGGAGCTTTTAATGGATACCTACTATATTAAGGTGTTCTTTTAAAGGACATCCACTAAAAGAAGGGGAGCTTTTAAAGGATATCCACTAAAAAAGGGTGCTTTTAGTGGATACCCGCTGAATTAAAGGGTGCTTTTAATGAATATCCAGTAAAAGAAGGGGTTCTTTTAAAGGATATCCACTGAATTAAGGTCTTCTTTGAAAGGATATCCACTAAAAGAAGGGGTGCTTTTAATGGACACCCACTAAAAAAGGGGAGCTTTTAAAGGATCCCCACTAAATGAAGGTGCTCTTCCATTGGATACCCACTGACAGAAGTTGCAGCAACTCACAATTCCCCACTTCCTTACCCTTGAAATAAAATCAAGGCTGAACATTCCAGCTCAGAACGAGTTAAACCCAGCGTTTAACCCCTTCCTGCAGTGCACAAGTCATTTTTCAGCCCCTGGATCCCTCCCAGCGCCACCAGGGTCAGATCTTTGTCCTTTGGGGCGTTTGCTTCGCTTCTCCTTAATTATCTGCGAAGGGCAGCCGGGGTGCGAGCGGTTCTGTTTTCACCTCTGTTTATCGCCCGGAGCAGGGGGAGAGGAGTCAGCGGTGCGGGGTCAGCTCGGGAGGGGAGCAGGGCTGGGCCGGAGCTGCTTTGGGCAGCTCGGGCTGTCCCTCTGTCCTGTCCCTCTGTCCTGTCCCTCTGTCCGGCCCCTCTGTCCTGTCCCTCTGTCCTGTCCCTCTGTCCTGTCCCTCTGTGCTGTCCCTCTGTCCGGCCCCTCCCGCCGGCTCAGAGCTGCTCAGGCTGGAGGGGATGGAAAGGGGATGGAATTCCCAGGGCAGCTGAGGAGCCCCGGGGGTGCCCAAGGATGGGGAAGGGAAGGTCCAGAGAAACCCTGGAGCTGCTCCCAGAGCCTGGAAGGGACAGGGACAGACGGACAGGGACACGGGGACAGGAACCTGGAGGAACAGGGACACAGGGACAGGACTCTAGGATGGGCAGGGACAGAGGGATAGGGATCCTGGATGGACAGGGACATGGGAATGGGGTCTGGATGGACAGGGACAGAGGGATAGGATCCTGGATGGACAGAAGGACAGGGACACAGGGACAGAAACCTGGAGGGACAGGAACACAGGGACAGGATCTGGGTGGGCAGGGACATGGGAATGGGGTCTGGATGGACAGGGACAGAGGGACAGGACTCCAGGATGGGCAGAGACATGGGGACAGTAATCCTGGATGGACCCAGGGACAGGATCTGGATGGACAGAGGGACAGGGACAGAGGGACAGGACTCCAGGACGGACAGGAGCCCAGGGGCAGCTGCTGTGCCCGAGGAATGATCTCCCAGGAGGGTTTTCCATCAGGCAGCAGCCCCTGGGCATGGCTGGGAGCTCTGCAGCCTCCCTGGCCCCCCTGGCCTCTCCCAGCAGCCAGCCCCTCCTGCCAGGGGCTTTGCTCCAGTTCCAGGCTCACCTGAACGTCTCCCACAACAGGGAAAGCCTTGTCCAGTGATGGGAAATCCCTGCAGAATGCTGGGGGCACACGGAGCCCCTGGAGGTGCCTGGCTGGGCAATAACAGCTGGACTTTGCCTTGCCAGGGAATGAATCCCTGTGGAGGAGCCTCAGAGCAGCTGAGAGAGCCCTGAGAGGAGCTGCTGGAGGAGGGGACACCCCGCTGACTGCACCAGCCTCCTGCCCTTACTAACAAATGTCAGCAACTCGGTAAATCTGCCTTTGTCCTTCCCAAAAGCAGCCCAGCACGTGGGGGTTCAGGGGCAGAAATATCCATTTTTCCCCTGTGCCAAAGATAGGTTGTGATCCACGTGAAAGCAGAGCCTGGAAATTGGAATCTCACTCCAAAAATGCAGGCAGAGGGTGTGGAGTGTGCTGTCAGAGAAACCTGAGCCAGGCTGGCACCTGGGAGGGGGAGGGCATCAAATATTCCCTGCTGAGTTCTGCACAGCACCAGGGGCGTTGGGATTGATGGGACAGGCTGGCAGCCCTGGGATGGGCAGGGATCAGCAGTGGCCCGGGAGCTGGGAGCTCCACAAAGCTGGAATGTGCCCGTGCCCTGCAGCTGCCAGCGGGGCAGATCCCATAAAACCCCCCTGGGTTTGGTCAGAGCCAGCCCTGGAGCAGCCGGGCTGTTTTATCACGGAAAACATTCCCAAAACATTCCTTCCTTGCCCTGGGACACCCTGGGGCAGCAGCCCTGGACATTCCAGGCAGTTCTGTGCCTGGCTGAAATTCCCTCTGCTTTTGGGCAGTTTTTGCCATTTCCCAAGCCCGGGGCCAGCGGGAGGTGCTGTCACCTCCTGGGCGAGGGGACAGGGGGCACAGCCAGCCACGGCTCTGCCTCAGCAAAGGGTGACCCCAGCTTCCCAGTCTGGGATTGAGGGGGGTGCCAGGCTGTTCCTGTAGCAGCTTCCCGGGATTTCCTGGGAATCTTCTCAGAGCTTCCCCAGGATTTTCCTGGGGGAACCAAGTGTTGGATTTCAGGGATGCTCGTGGCAGGAGGGAATGGTGAATCAGACTCTGTGTTCTCAGAAGGCCAATTTATTATTTTGTGATACTATTTTCTATTGAAATGCTAAACCAAACGACACTGAAGAACACAGAAAGGACACTTACAGAAGGCTAAAAAGATAATAATGAAACTGGTGACTCTCTCCAGAGTCTGGCACAGCCTGGCACTGACTGGCCAAAGAGTGAAAACAGCTCACAGCAGAGCCCAAAGAAACAATCACCTGGGGGTGAGCAACCTCCAAATTCCACATTCCAAAAAACACCAACAGAAGCAAATGAGACAAAATTGTTTCCCTTTTCCTCTGAGGCTTCCCAGGAGAGAATCCTGGGGGGAGGATTTTCCAGGGGATGGGAATGTGGCAGCCACGGCTCCCTGTGCTCAGGGATGTGAGAGGATGAGGATGAGGATGAGGATGAGAGGCCCTGGCACGGCCCCAGGAGGGGCTGGCTGGCACCTGGGCAGCAGCAGGGGTGGCCAGGGGAGAGGGAGCAGGAAATTGCTGCACTTCCCCTTCCTCAGCTTCCCTCCCACCTAAAACCCCAAATCAGACATTCCCAGGTGTGTGCCTGCCCTCACAGGGCTCTTTGCCTTCTGTTTGTTTCCCAAAATAACACATTTGCATAACCCCAGCCCCTCCCATCCCTGCTCTGTATCAGAATGAGGTCATTAGTCCTTCACGTGTGCAGTTCTTCTCTCTAATGGGGCCAGTGGTCCCTAACTGGGTCAGGGGTCCCTAACTGGGTCAGGGGTCCCAGGGATGAAGTCAGCAAGGTCTTCCTCAGCTCTCTGTGACCCTCTGGCAGCACCCAAGCCCTGCTGGGATGGATTGGCAGGGCCCAGGGCTGGGCATTGTTCTGTTCCTTCTGCAAATGAGCTCAAAATGCAACAATTGCCTTCAGGGTGTTGTTTCTACAGCAATGCTTCAGATTTAAACATCTAATAATCATTAACCTATCTCTGGTGTAGCTGATTTTAATAGGAGTTGGATCTGAGCCTCAGCTGAAATTTTAACCCTATAAAACCATGATTCAAAGCCCTCTTCCCCTCTTGGTGTATCTAATTTCAGTATGAATTGGTTCTGACTCGGCTGAAACCTGAACCCTATAAAATCCTAACCCTATAACATCATAAATCAAAGGCAAGTTATCCAACTTCAGCATGAATTGGTCTGACCCTCAGCTGAAATCCTAACCCTACAAAATCATGATTCCAAGCCCTGTTACCTGACTTCAATGTGAATTGGTTCTGAGCCTCAGGTGAAATTTTAACCCTTTCAAACCATGATTCAAAGCCTTGCTATCTAACTCCTACATGAATTGGTTCTGCCCCTCAGCTGCAGTCCTGACCCTACAAAATCACGATTCCAAGCCCTGTTATTTAATTTCAGTGTGAGTTTGTTCTGCCCCCCAGCTGACACTTTAACCCTCTCAAGCCCTGATCCCGAGCCCTGTTCTCCGTCCCCGCAGGGAGCAGCCCATCTTCAGCACCAGGGCCCACGTGTTCCAGATCGACCCGGCCACCAAGAGGAACTGGATCCCGGCCAGCAAGCACGCCCTGACCGTCTCCTACTTCTACGATGCCACCCGCAGCGTCTACAGGATCATCAGCGTGGGGGGCACCAAGGTGGGCACTGCCCAGGGCCCCTCGGGGCAGCTGTGCCCATGGGAGACAGCTGTGCCCCTAAGGAAACGGCTGTGTCCCTAAAAAAGCAACTTTCCCCCAAAAACCCCAGCTGTTCTCCCCAGAAAACAGCTTTCCCCCACAAAAGCAGCTGATTCTGTGGTTGGTTCCTGACTTCCTGTTTGATTTCCCCAATTCCCTGTTTGATTCCCCCATCAATTCCCTGACTCCCTGATTGATCCTCTGATTCCCTGACTCCCTGATTGATTCCCTGATCAATCCCCGATCCATCCCCGATCCATCCCCGATCCATCCCCTGATCAATCCCTGTCCCCTGCAGGCCATCATCAACAGCACCATCACCCCCAACATGACGTTCACCAAGACCTCGCAGAAGTTCGGGCAGTGGGCTGACAGCAGGGCCAACACGGTCTACGGGCTGGGCTTCGCCTCCGAGCAGCACCTCAGCCAGGTGAGCAGCACCTGAGCAGGTGAGCAGCACCTCAGCCAGGTGAGCAGGGACCTGGAACCCTCAGCCAGGTGAGCAGGGGCTGGGCAGGTGAGCAGCACCTCAGCCAGGTGAGCAGGGACCTGGAACCCTCAGCCAGGTGAGCCCAGGAACCTGTCCCAGCTGAGCCCAGAACCTGGAAACCTGAGCCAGGTGAGCTCAGAAATCTGGAAATGTGGCCCAGGTGAGCCCAGGGAACCTCCCCTGGAGAAAACCCTCCAGGAAATCCTCAGGCACCTGCTGGGGTGCTGCTCTCCCCGGGCTGGAATGGAATCCAGGGTGCAAAGGTACCAAAACCAGCTTTGAAGTTGTGTTTGGGTGCCACAAGTGGAGCTGCAGGTGCTGCTCCTTGCTGAACCCACGGCCCCGAGCTCCAAATTGAGATTAAAATCTGAGTTTTGGTGTTGGAGAGAAATTAAAAAGTGTTTTTAATGAAGGTGCAGACAGAGCATCAGCCCTGCTGTGCACAGCCCCAGGGTGATGTGACCTTCCCTTCCCTCCCCTCCCCTCCAGTTTGCAGAGAAGTTCCAGGAGGTGAAGGAGGCCGCTCGTGTGGCCAGGGAGAAATGCCAGGACAAGACTGAGCTCACCAACCCTGCCCTGAGCATCCCTTCCCACCAGGTGAGCCTGGGGTGGGGGAACGGGGGAAAAGGGAGAAAAGGAGAAAAAAGGAGAAAAAAGGTGTCTCTGCTGTCCCCAGGGGTATCCCTGCTGTCCCCAGGGCTGTCCCTGCTGTCCCCAGGGCTGTCCCCAGGGCTGTCCCTGCTGTCCCTGCTGTCCCAGAGCTGTCCCTGCTGTCCCTCTGTCACCTCCCAGACCCCTCACACTGACCCCGAGCAGCCAGGCCGGGCTGGTGGCCGCAGGGCCATGCCAGGCCGCCCTGCAGGAGGTGACCCCCTGTCCCTGTCCCTGTCCCTGTCCCCCCAGGTGCTGCCCAGCCCCATCATCAGCTCCAACGGGCCGGGCGAGGACAAACTGTTCCGCAGCCAGAGCGCGGATGTGGAGAGCAGCACCGAGAAGGAGAGGCTCAAGAAGATGCTCTCGGAGGGGTGAGACCCTGCCCTGGCAGGGCTTGGTGCCAGGTTTATCATCCCAAATCACTGGGATTGGCTGCTCTGACCCCAAATTCTCCCTCTGGCAGGGCTTGGTGCCAGGTTTATCATCCCAAATCACTGGGATTGGCTGCTGTGACCCCAAACTCTCCCCTGGCAGGGCTTGGTGCATCCTAAATAATTCTACCCCATTCTGCCCTTGTAGTTCCCCCTCTCTGCTGCTCCAGCCCTCCCCTGGGTGGATTCCCCTTTCCCAGCAGGGATTTATTCCAGCTGGGAAATCTGCTCAGTGCCAGCCGTGCCCAGAGCAGGATCCTGTGACACCAGGAGATGTTCACACTCCTGGTTGTGTTCCTTCCCCTGGAGATTCCAGCAAAGTCCCTGCTGCTTCCTCTCTTTGTCTCTTCAAAAGGCTTTGGGGCTGGATTCTGCTCCTGTCCAGCTCCCAGCTGAACTCTTGGAGTATTTTTAAATCAAAAGCAAAGAGTCCTGGGCTTTATTCAAAGCAAACTCTGCTCCAATGTGGATTTTTGAAGTGGATTCACAATCCCACCCTGCAGAGCCCCTTTAGAGTTCCCAGATCTCCCCCAGCCCATTAATCCCAGCATGGTTTGTGCAGCTTCACACCCAAAAAAACAAATATTAAAGGGATAAAGCACAGAGGGGACATCCAGACCTGGATCTCACCCACCCAGGGAGCTGGGTCTGGCTGGGAAAGGTTTTGGGGGAGCTGGGAAAGGTTTTGGGGAGCTGGGTCTGGCTGGGGAAGGTTTTGGGGGAGCTGGGAAAGGTTTTGGGGGAGCTGGGTCTGGCTGGGGACGGTTTTGGGCGGCTTCTCATCTTCCCAGGACAAAACCCTTGGAAAATCCCAGGAAAGGTGACCTTCTCCCACCTGTCCCCAGCTCGGTGAGCGAGGTGCAGTGGGAGGCCGAGTTCTTCAGCCTGCAGGACAACAACTCCAAGCTGGTGGCTGCCCTGCACGAGGCCAACGCCAGCGTGGAGCAGTGGAAGCAGCAGCTGGCGGCGTACCAGGAGGAGACGGAGGCACTGCGCCTCAGGGTGAGCAGGGGGCTGCACCCCCCTGGACAGAGCAGCTGGGCTGGGCAGAACCAGCTCTGGGACACCCAGGAGCAGGGGAAGGGTCCCACTGCTCGCTGAAGGGAAAAGGTGTTTGGTTTCACAAACGAACTCTGGGTTTGCTGGTAAATGAAGCTAGGTGTTGAAAGGTGAAAGAGACAATGGGGAAGGATTGCACTGCTTGGTGAATGCTGAAAGATCGTTTGGTTTTACAAATGAACCTTGGGTTTGCTGATAGATGAGACCCAGAGCTTGTTTGGAAAGACAAATCCCTCATTCCTCCCAGGAGGAAAGCCCAGCCCAGCTGCCCTTGGCCCCTTTTCCCACCAAGCCCAGCAGCTCCAGGGAGCTGCAGCAGCCTGGCAGGGAAGTGGGGCAGGAAGCGAGGGAAAGGCAGGGAAGCAAAGTGCAGAGCCACGGGATTTCAGCTTTCCTGGGGGATTTTCTGGAAGGAACTCCAGACAATTCCGGTTTCCAGCATGACCCAGTTTGGCCCAGCTGGGCATCAGGGCAGCGTGTGGCTGCTCCAGGAGGGATGGGATGGCTGGGAAAGGTTTGGGGAGCCCTGGGGAAGGAGGCACGGAGCCATTTGCACTTGGAGAGGGGCATTTGAGAGCCAGCAGGGATTTAGAGCAATGAGCAGGTGTTTGCACTGGTGGCTGTGTGGTGTGCAGTAAGCATCTCTGCCTCAGGATTCCCAACATCCTCCCTCAGGATTCCCTCAGGATCCCCTTAGGATTCCCTCAGGATTCTCTCAGGATTCCCAGCATCTCTCCCTCAGGATTCCCTCAGGATTCCCTCAGGATTCTCTCAGGATTCCCTCAGGATTCCCTGGTGTAATTCCCAACATCCCTCCCTCAGGATTCCCTCAGGATCCCCTCAGGATCCCCTCAGGATTCCCAACATCCCTCCCTCAGGATCCCCTCAGGATCCCCTCGAGCCTCCCCGGGCCTTGCCGGGCTCCCAGAAGGAGCCATAACTCAGTGAACTCCCCCATTTCTGTCCCTGAGTCAGAGCATTTTTGGGTTCTGGCCCCCCGACCCCAAGAGCTGCAGGGAGGAGCAGGAGCTGTCCCTGGCTGGGCGAGCTCCCTGTCCCTGGAGCTGTTTGCAGAGCTCGCAGCAGCCCCAGCAAAAGCAGAACCATGTTAAAAATGAATCCTGCTCATGAATAATCCAAGGCACCGAGCTGCGTTTTCCAGGGGAGCTCTGGGCAAACCCTTCCAGCTCTGCTGCAGCAGCTCCAGAGCTTTTGGAGATCTCTGCCCAGAGGGGTAACTGTCTCAGAGTGGTCCAGATGACCCCCAAATTGTAGAAAGTCTCTTTTTCCCAGCCCAGCAGTCAGGATTCTTCACCTCTGGTTTTCAAGGTTGTTTATTTTCTCTTCTCTGATTAATTCTTTCTCTGACCTGCCCAGGTCTGTGTGGCAGGTCGGTCCCTGGCAGCCTGCACTGCCTGAGACACTGCTGTCTTTTTATACTAAATCCATTTACAGTAGTTTTCCAGTACCTGCCACCTGTGTTAGACAGTCTCTAAACCAGTCCAAAAGTGCCACCATCACACAGAAGATGAAGGCTAAGAAGAAGAGGAAGGAAGGACAGGGTACACTAGATTCCTCCATCTTGGCTCCTGAACCCCATCCTAAAAACCCCATAATTCAATTATTTTTTTTGTGACAAACTAACTATCATTCTACCTAAACTTTCGTGGCTTGTAAATCTTCATATAAGGTTGGTAATTTGTTCCAGGGGCTAAAATCAAAGGCAGAGGTGTTTTTAACTCTGTGCCAGGGTCCCTGAGCCCCCTGCCAGGGCTCGAGGCATCCGGGGCAGCCAGAGGAAGGTGCTGGGTTCCATCATAAATGGAGCTGGACCTTCAGGCTGGGCTCAGGGCTGGGTCAGCCAGCCCATCTGTGCTGGGTCTGAGCTCCTGCACAAGGCTCAGGCACACTCTCTAAAGTGGAGTTTTGAGCCCCAGAAGGTTTCCAGGCAGAGCAGAAGGAATTGTTTTGCCCCCAGCCCCAGCAGGAGGGGAGGCCAGGTGGGTTTGCAGGGAGGCAGAGCACGGCTGTGGCCGCTGAGGACGTCCCTGAGGGAGCCTCCCCCTGCAGGTGGCAGAGCTGGAGGCACAGGGCACCCACGATTCCTCCAGCGAGAACAACAAGGAGGAGCTGAGCCAGACCCTGGAGGAGCTGGAGCTGCTGGTCAAGGCTAAAGATGAGGTGAGGCTGTCAGACCCCCCAAACCTGTCAGACCCCCCAAACCTGTCAGACCCCTCAAACCTGTCAGACCCCTCAGCTATCAGAGCTCTTCCAGCTGTTCCCCTCTATCCCCTCCCCAGGGAACAGACTGAGGGACAGGGATGTGCTGGGGTGGAGAGGCTCAGGATCTGGGCAGCTCAGAATTCCCAGAATCACAGAATTCCCAGAATCACAGAAATCACAGAATTTCCAGAATTCCCAGAATCACAGAATCACAGAAATCACAGAATTCACAGATATCACAGAATTCCCAGAATTTCCCTTGAAAGCCAAATGAAAAAAGCCATAAATAGACATTTTCCACGCAGGAGATCCAGATGCTGAAGAGCCAGAGGTGCCGCTGGGAGGCCGAGGGGGAGCGCGAGGAGACGCTGCAGAAGCTGCAGGTAAAGGTGGCACCTGGGGGAACCCCCGTTAATCCCCTCGTTAATCCCCTCGTTAACCCCTGAGCAGGCTCTGGGGTGTTTTTGGGATTTGGGCTGTCCCTGAGGCCATTCCCAGTGTCCCCTCCCTGGCCTGGAGCCACTCTCGTGCTTGCCAGAACCTTCTGGAAATGCTTTTGGATCTGCTCAGTGCTGTGCTCAGCGTTTGGGAGCAAAGAAAGCTTTGCCCGCGCTGTGATGGAGCCAATCCCACCAGGCTGGGAAGGATCCAGAGGATCCAGGGCCAATCCCACCGGGCTGGGAGGGCCCAGGGCCAATCCCACCAAGTGGAGAGGATCCAGAGGATCCAGAGCCAATCCCACCAGGCTGGGAAGGATCCAGAGGATCCAGGGCCAATCCCACCGGGCTGGGAAGGATCCAGAGCCAATCCCACCGGGCTGGGAAGGATCCAGAGGATCCAGAGCCAATCCCACCGGGCTGGGAAGGATCCAGAGGATCCAGGGCCAATCCCACCGGGCTGGCAGGGTCCCTGTGGGCACAGCTGCCCTCCCACAGCCTCACCCGCGGGCAGGGCTGGGGCCAGGCCCAGGGAGGAGCCCTGGGGACAGCGGGGGCCCGGGGTGGCCCTGGGGCTCTGGGCAGGCCGTGTGGCTGTCCCTGCAGGAGCTGGAGGCCCGGAACGCCGAGCTGGAGCAGCGGCTGCAGCTGGCAGAGCAGAGCCTGGCAGAGAGCCTGGCAGACAGGGACAGGATGCACCACGAGGTCGCCAAGGCGGCCGAGATCATGGACGTGAAGATCTTCGAGCTCAGCGAGCTCAGGCAGGGCCTGGCCAAGCTGGTGGAGAGCAACTGAGAGCAGCAGAGAGCCCCTGGGCAGGGGCACCTCAGCTGGGGCCGGGCACCACCCAGGGATCCCGAGGGCACCAAGAGATCCTGTGGGCACCACCGAGAGATCCTGAGGGCACCATGACATCCTGAGGGCACCAAGAGATCCTGTGGGCACCAAGAGATCCCGTGGGCACCAAGAGATCCCGCGGGCACCAAGAGATCCCGTGGGCACCAAGAGATCCCGTGGGCACCAAGAGATCCCGAGGGCACCATGAGATCCTGAGGGCACCATGAGATCCTGAGGGCACCATGAGATCCTGAGGGCACCATGAGATCCTGAGGGCACCATGAGATCCTGAGGGCACCATGAGATCCTGAGGGCACCATGAGATCCTGAGGGCACCATGAGATCCTGAGGGCACCATGAGATCCTGAGGGCACCATGAGATCCTGAGGGCACCATGAGATCCTGAGGGCACCAAGAGATCCTTTGGGCACCACCATGAGATCCTGTGGGCACTGGGAACTCCTGTGAGCACCATGAGATCCTTTAAGCACCATGAGATCCTGTGGGCACTGGGAACTCCTGTGGGCACCACCAAGAGATCCCGAGGGCACCATGAGATCCTGTGAACATCAAGAGCTCCTGTGGGCACCATCCAGAGCTCCTGTGGGCACCATCCAGAGCTCCCGTGGGCACCCAGCAGCCCCGGTGCTGCCCGGGCAGCATTTGCCACCCACCAGCAGCTGCCTGGACAGAGCGGGCACCAGACTGGTCACTCAGTGCCCAGCGAGCCCCAGAGCAGGGCACAGAGCCCCTGAGCCCCAAATCCCCTCCAGGGAGCCCCTGAACCCCCAAACCTCTCCAGGGAGCCCCCAAACCTCTCCAGGGAGCCCCTGCACCCCCAGCAGAGCTCTCTGGCCCTGCCCTGGCCCAGGGGTGCCAGCTGTGCCCGTGCCACCCCTGCTGCCACCGTGTCCCCGAGGTTTTTACATTTCCTAAGGGCAGGGCCGAGCCTTGGGGCAGGATTGATTCTTTTTTCTGTAGTTTTTTTAGGAAACCATTTGCCTTTTGCAGAGCAGCTGCCTGCTCCCCCTGGCTGGGGAGGCAGGAGGAGCTGGGCACTGCCAGGAGTTCCTCCTCTTCCTCTTCCTCCATGCTGGGTGCTCCCAGCAGGATCCAGCCCCTGGAGCAGCCCGGGGAGCAGAGGTGGAGGAAAATTCTGGAAGGTTTTCCCTGGCCCCAGAGGAAAATCTGCATTTTCACAGCCTGGATGAGCTGAGGGTTGAAGGACTGCTGGAAATTTTGGGGCTGGGCACGGGGAATTTGGGACAAGGGACGTCCCTCAGGGCCACCAAGCTGCTGGGCTGGCATCGCTGCAGCCCCGGGGGCTGAGGTTAATTGGAATTAAATGGAGCAAATCGCAGCTGCTCTTGGGCTTTTGTGCTTCTTTTTTTGTGCCTTTTGTGTTGGGAAGAGGCCCCCAGGGATGTCCTGCTGAGGGTGACAGGGACAGGCCCCAGCTGGGCTCAAGGACCGGGAGGAGCTGGGGACACGCGGGACCCTGAGGGGCTGCGGGGGCGTGGGGGCCACCCAGGAATTCGGGATTCATCCCAGAAATTCGGGAGTTACCCCAGAAATTTGGGATTCATCCCAGAAATTCGGGAGTTACCCCAGAAATTCGGGAGTTACCCCAGAAATTTGGGATTCATCTCAGAAATTCGGGAATTATCCCAGAAATTCAAAATTAATCTCAGAAGTTTGGGAGTAATCCCAGAAATCTGGGAGTACCCCAGAAATTTCACAGTTACCCCAGAAATTTGGGATTCATCTCAGGAGTTTGGGAGTTACCCCAGAAGTTTCAGAGTTTACTGCTTTTATTTTGATGCTTTGTTTGGGTATGTGGCCAGAAAGCCTCAAAACCTTTCTTTGTGTCCATTTTCCACCAGAAAGCCTCAAAACCTTTCTTTGTGTCCATTTTCCACCAGAAAGCCTCAAAACCTTTCTTCGTGGCCGTTTCCCCCAGCAGTACAAACATTTGCTGATCCCGTTGCCAGCTGCCAGCGAAGCCCCACAGAACATTTTCCCAGCGGGGTTTGGGGTGTCCCTGTGGTGCCAGCCCTGTGCCCCTCAGGCCATTCCAGTGTCCCCTCCTGGCCTGGAGCCGCTCTCGTGCTTGCCAGAACCTTCTGGAAGCGCTTTTGGATCAGCTCCGTGCTGATCAAAAGCCGTGCCCGGGCTGGGATGGGTGCTCCGGGAGTCCTCCCTCCTTCCTCACAAATGAAATCCCATTTATCACCAGCCCTTCCCCAAATCCGCCCCGGCCAGGACAAAACTTCCCCGGGCTGCTCCAGAGCTGCAATTCCCGAGGATTTTGTTCCCAATTCCAGCCATTTCCAGAGGATTTTATTTATTTTTTGGTTGTGTTTCACAGCAGCACCGACACCGCCCCGCTGGGCCCCTGCAGGCCTCACCCTGAGGAATTTCTTATTTTTGTGCTTCCAAAGGGGAAAATCTTGTGTGGCAAAGGTGACCGAGCTGCACTTTGTGTCTGGCAGCAGCATCTTGTGCATTTTGTGCGTTTTTGTGCGTTTTTGTGCCTGGCAGCAGCTCCATGCCAGCCCCTCCTGGCTGAGGGAGGCGCCGGGGCCTGGAGAGGCCTCACAAATGAGGATTTTAATTATTCACAGCCCAGCCAGAGCGCTAATAACAGGGAAATGAATCCCACAGGAGAGTGGGATGAGCAAGGAAAACGCTTTGGAGATTTCCCCTGAGCACAGAAGGCTGAGCTGAGCAGAAAAAATGGGAATTCAGCCCCAAAACTGGGCCCAGCCCAGCCCAAGAAAATGGGATTTTGGTGGGAATGGGATTTTGGTGGGAAAGGGATTTTAATGGGAATGGGATTTTGGGGGGAATGGGATTTTGGTGGGAATGGGATTTTGGTGGGAATGGGAATGGGAAATGGCACCAGCTGCAAATGCAGCCCAGCTTTGATTCCTCCTGTGAGAAGTGCACATTGTATGGCAGATATTTGCTGTTGTATTGAGCAGTAGTGCTGCACTCACATTTTTAATGATGTGGTAAATGCAGTTTTGTGGTTCAAATGTGAGTTTTGCAGTTCAAACAGGAACTCTGCCTGTGGGATATTTTTTTAAAGACAGGAACGAGGTGCAGGCAGAGACAGCAGCCACAGGACACCCAAATCCTTCAGAGAAAAAGAATTTATTGCTCCGTTATCAGAGGAAATTAACTTCTTCCTGCCTGCTCAGCTCTGAAAATTCAGGATTCAGAGGAAGAAGCTGACACTGAAATTCTGTGCTTTAATGGAATTTTTGCATCATGGATGAGCTGTCTGAATATGCATCAGGCTGCTGCTTTAAAGGGTTAATCCTGTGACTGTGGGTCCTTTTTTGGGTTTATTTTGCCCACAAAGAGGTACCCAGCCTGTCCCTAACTCTTTGTTTTATTGTCTCATACTGTCCCGATCTCAACTGTTCAAATCTTTATCCCTCTAATTATATTACAATTTTTATAACCATTTTATTACTATTACAGTTTTAAAAAATTATAAACAAGTGATTGGAGTTTTTCACACTCCTCCTCCTCCAGGGCAGAACTGCCCTCTCTGGACTTGAATTTCCACCCTCTCAGAGGTGCTGCAGAGCCAAGAGGAGAAAAGGAGAAAAAAGGGGGAAAAGGGAGAAAAAAAGGAGAAAAAAAGGAGAAAAAAAAGGAGAAAAAAAGGAGAAAAGCTGGGTGATCTCAGTGATTTTTACCAGGACCTAAAAGTCCTTCCCTGCCCCAAAGCCCCTGGGGATGCCTCTCTGTGGGGGAAATAAACCCAAAAAAGGACAAACAAAAAGGGGATTTGGGGGTTTTGGGGTGAGATTTGGGGGGACTGAGGAGGAAATGGGGCAGGAAAAGGGGGATTTTGGGGGGGCAGAGGGGGGTTTGGGGTGGCAAAGGGGGATTTTGGGGTGGCAGAGGGGGATTTGGGGTGGCAAAGGGGGATTTTGGGGTGGCAAAGGGGGATTTGGGGTGGCAGAGGGGGATTTGGGGTGGCAGAGGCTAACAGGGGATTAACCCTTCACAGCAGCAGCCTGTTCATACTGAACTGTTCATGCATGTTCATACATGTTCACACAGCTCACACCTGGTGCACAAATTCCAGCCCAAGCCAGGCCTCTCTCTGCTCACCCCGGGTATTTTCAGGGGCATTTTCAGGCTCTGGCTCAGGGCAGGAGCTGCTGATCCCAACGAGTGAGAGTGGCAGCCACAGCCCGGGCAGGGCCAGGGCCAGGAACTGCCCCAGCAGGACCCAGGGGCAGGAATCTACTCCAGGGATTGTTCCAGCAGGGACTGCCCCAGGATTTATCTCTGCAGGATTTATCCCAGCAGGATTTATCCCAGGATTTATCCCAGCAGGAATTGTCCCAGGATTTGTCCGAGCAGGAACTGTCCCAGCAGGAACTGTCCCAGCAGTCCTGAGCTCCTTCCAACCCCATCCCAAAAGGTTCTGGGATTCTTCCCTTCTCCCCAGCACAGATTTTTTTATTTTTTCCCCACACCCAAGAGTTCAATCCCAGTTTTCCCAAAGCAGCAGCAATTCCAGGGCAGTCCAGGCCCGGCCCAGGCACGTCACTGCTCCTCCTTCTGCTCCTTCTCCTTCTCCATCTTCCTCTTCCTCCTCTCCATCCTCCTGTGCAGTTTCCTGCCGAGCTGCAGCTGCCTCCTCCTGTGCAGGCCCTGCTGCAGCCTCTCCCGGCACTCCCTGTTCCTGCTCCTGATCCGCGCCAGCTCCGCCCGCCGGCGCGCCTGCAGCTCGGGGGACTGGGGACAGCACGGGGACAGACGTGGGGACAGGGACAGGGCATGGGGACACTGGGGACAGCACGGGGACAGACGTGGGGACAGGGGCTGGGGACACTAGGGACAGCACGGGGACAGACGTGGGGACAGGGCCTGGGGACACTGGGGACAGCACGGGGACAGACGTGGGGACAGGGCCTGGGGACACTGGGGACAGCACGGGGACAGACATGGGGACACAGCCAGGACACTGGGGACAGGGACAGGCATGGGGACAGGGCCTGGGGACACTGGGGACAGGGCATGGGGACACTGGGGACAGGGACAGGCATGGGACACTGGGGACACTGGGGACAGGACACTGGGGACAGCACAGGGACAGACACGCGGACACAGCCAGGACACTGGGGACAGGGACAGGCATGGGGGCAGGGCCTGGGGACACTGGGGACAGGACAGGGAATGGGACAGGGACAGGGCATGGGGACAGGGACACTGGGGACAGCACAGGGAATGGGACAGGGACAGGGACACTGGGGACAGGGACAGGACACTGGGGACACAGCCAGGACAAGCCCTTGCCCTTTCCCAGGTGCCCATGGCCAAGGAGGCCCCAAACTCAGCCCCTTCCCCGTTTTCTCCAGAGCATTTTTAACATCCTAATATTTCATCTGTTTCATCCCATAACATTTAATATGTGTAATAATATTTCATATTTTAAACTGCAAAATAGTTCATCCTTTAACACTATAATAGTTATTAGTGTAATATAACAGTAATTAGTATTTCCTAACGATTAGGATTATTTTAAATAAACCTTCACACCCAGAAGGGAAGGAAGAAAGACAAACAGGAAGGGAAGGAAGGAAGGAAGGAAGGGAAGGAAGGGGGGACTGTCCTTCCCTTTCCCTTGCCCACATTCCTCAGCCCAGGGCAGTTCAGAAAGCAGCAGCTCTCACCTTCCCTTCCAGGATCATCTGTTTCCTCTTATTGATTTCCTTCTTCTCATCAAAGTCCATCCCCTCCAGCTCCTGCCAAAGGGAAGAGCAGCAGAGCCACAAACCTCAACCCTGAGCTGCAGAACCCTGAAAAACTGGGAAAAACCCCAGAGAACCCCGGGGAGAGGCCAAGCAAGGCTCCCCAGGCACACTCACGATCTCACACTCCCTCCTGGTGACGTTCACTTGGGTCAGGATGTCCAGCACCAGCTGCTCCTCCACGGAGAACTCCTCCAGCTGCAGCTCTGGGCAGGGTGAACACAGGGTCACAAACCCAAACCCAAATCCAGACCCAAACCCAAACCCAAACCCTCCTCCAGCTGCAGCTCTGGGCAGGGTGACACACAGAGGGTCACAACCCCAAATCCTCGGGGCAAACCCCAAGAAATGCCTGGCTGTCAGTGGGGCTGCTGTGTGCTCTGTGTTTGAACTTGGATTGTTGGGGTGCTGAGCTCTGCAGCCCCCAGGGATTTGGGCTGCTTCCCAAAAAATAACAAATAGGGGATCCTGAGGAGTGGAATAGGGAATGGGGATCCTGGAAAACAGAACAGGGAATGTGAGCATGAAACATGGAATAGGAATAGGGATCCTGAAGAGTGGGATAGAGAATGTGAACCTGAAATATGGAACAGGGATCCTGAAACATGGAATAGGGAATGGGGATCCTGAAATATGGATCAGGGAATGTGATCCTGAGGAGTGGAACAGGGAACCCGAAGCAGCTCTTGAGGAAGCAGCTGCTCTCGTGAAGAACAGCCCCACACCATTTCTGCCCCACTAAAGGCAGCAGGAACAGCAGCAGGGTCCAGCCTGGGCCAGGCAGGGGTCGAGCTGCTCCTGGGGAAGGGAAGGGAAAGGGGAAAGGGGAAAGGGAAGGAGGCCAGCCCCACTCACTGATCTCCTCCTCGATGGCGTGCACCAGGTGGATGTCATACTGTGTCACCAGGGTGATGGCCAGGCCCTTCCTCCCTGAAACGGGATAAACCAGGGCCTGAGCAATGCTGGCAGGCACGGAGGGATGGAGCCAAGGCACCCCCAGCCCTCCCTCCCCAGGAGCCAGGCTGGCTCTGAAAAGCCCAGGAATTATCCCGTTAAACCAGCAGGGAGGTGTGAGCCACCCTCAGGCATCCAGGGCAGGGCCCAGTGACCCCAGGGCTGTCTCAAAGCAGGGAAAACGAGGATTTTGGGAATTACACACAGAAATGTCACCCCTCCCCAGGCTGTCCCCTCCCCAGGCTGTCCCCCTCCCTGGAGCTGTCCCCCTCCCCAGGCTGTCCCCTCCCCAGGCTCTCCCCCTCCCCGGGCTCTCCCCCTCCCCAGGCTCTCCCCCCCTCACCCGCGCGCGCCGTCCGCCCCACGCGGTGGATGTAGATCTTGGGCAGCCCCGGGGTGTTGTGGTTGATGACAACCTGGACTGCAGGGATGTCCAAACCTCTGGAGTTCAGGGGGAAAAAACCCCCAGGTGTGGGAAAACAGGTTAAAGGTCAGGGGATTGTAAAATGTCACAGTGGCTGTCTGTTTAACTCTGCTTTCTCCACAAGCCCCAGATTCCCATGGACAAAGCCTTTACTGGCTGATTGGAGGACAAATTCCTTTCTCAGAACAATTCCCCAACTTCTTCCTCAGAGTTCAGCAATTCCCTAATTCCTTCCTCAGAGTTCAGCAATTCCCCAGCTCCTCAGGGCTCAGCAATTCCCATCTCCTCAGGGTTTCAGCAATTCCCTGTCCCTTGGAGCTGCTCCCCGGCAGCCCCAGGAACCCCTCAGGACCCCCCAGCCCTCCCTGGCAGAGCCTCAGCACCCCCAGGCTGCCCAGCCCAGCTCAGACAGGTCGGGAAGAGCCTGTCCCACCCAAACTGGGGGATCTGAGGCTCAGCTCTTGCTAAACTCAGCCCAAACTGCTTCTGGTGAACAAATCCAGGCGGGAGAGCTTTGGTTGTACCTGGCAGCCACATCTGTGGCAATGAGGATCTTGAAGATGCTGGACTTGAACTTGGCCAAAGCTGCAAATCTCTGTTTCTGGGAGGAGGAAACGCCGGGTGAGGGCTGTGGGACGGAGCTGGAGCAGCCCCTGGCAGGCCCTGAGCCCTCACCTGCTTCATCATGGAGTGCAGGGCCACAGAGGGGAAGCTGAACCTCCTCAGCATCATGTTCAGCACCTGGCAGTCCCTGGAAGGGAGGGAAAAATCAGGAAAATGCTGAGGGTGCACTGAGGGAATGGGTCAGGGCAGAGCTGGGACGGCAGGGACTGAGCCACCACGGCAGGGTGCCCAGCATGGCCTGGGACAGCTCCAGGACACCTCCCCTTCTGTGTGCAACTCCCAAAACCCTCATTTCCCCTACTTTAGGACACCTCCCACTGTCCCAGGGTGCCCAGCATGGCCTGGGACAATTCCTGGGGTGGGAAAACTGGGACAGGAAGGAGGGAGGCAGGGAGGAGGAGGAGGAAGGCAGGAAGGGAGGAGGCCCCTCACTTGCAGGTCTTGGTGAAGATGATGATGGCCCAGTCCTCGTGCTGGTCCTGGAAGCTCTGCACCAGGTGCACCAGGTAGGCGTCCTTGAGCGCCTCGGGCACCAGCAGGTACCTCTGCTCCAGCTCCTGCACTGTCCTCACCCTGCAGCAACGGGGAAAAGGGAACCCCAGGGTCCCTGAGGCTGGACAAGCCCCCAGGACCACCCAGCCCAAGCCCTGACCACGTCCAGCCCTGCCCTGGACTCCTCCTTCCAAGGCCTGGCTGCCCTTTCCAGGAGGAAATTCCTGCTGCTGGCCCAGCTGGGGCTGTCCCCTCCTGTCCTGGTGTCCCCTGGGACCCTCCTGGCTGTCCCCTCCTGCTGGGGGCTTGGGGACACTGGGAATGTCCTCCTGATCTGCTTTTCTCCAGGCTGGGCCCCTTCCCAGCCCCCTCAGGAACTCTCCAGCCCCCTCAGGAATTCTCCAGCCCCTTCCCAGCTCCCTCAGGAATTCTCCAGCCCCTTCCCAGCTCCTCCAGGAATTCCCAGCCCTCTCAGGAATTCTCCAGCCCCCTCAGGAATTTTCCATCCCTCTCCCAGCCCCCTCAGGACCTCCCAGCCCCTCCCAGGACCCCCCCGTCCTTCTCCTGACGCCCCGGCAGGCCTGGCAGTGCCAGCACAGGACTGAGGCAGGCCGAGGAGGCAGAGCCCAGGCAGAAGCAGGAGCCCTGGCACTCACGGGGCCGGGGCCTCCCAGCAGAAGGGGCTGTTGGCAGCCAGGGCGCGCAGCTGGCTCAGCGTGGCCGTCAGGGTGGCACTGAAGAGCAGGGTCTGGCGGCGCGCGGGCACCGCGCCCAGGATCAGCTCCAGGTCGGCGCTGAAGTCGGCGCTGCCCTGCTCCAGCAGGCGGTCAGCCTCGTCCAGCACCTGGCACAGCCCCAGGCTGGCACCGCGCACCCGGGGAGGGGGCACGGGGAGTGCCCACAGCCCAGGGAACCCACCAGGGAACCCCCAGATCCCAGGGAGTGTGCCCAGGGAAAACCCACAGGGTATCCAGGGAATGTGCCCAGGGAACCCCCACAGCCCAGGGAACCCACCAGGGAACCCACAGGATCCCAGGGAGTGTGCCCAGGGAATGCCCAGGATATCCAGGGAGTGTGCCCAGGGAATGCCCACAGCCCAGGGAACACCCACAGCCCAGGGAGTGTGCCCAGGGAGCCCCCAGATCCCAGGGAGTGTGCCCAGGGAGCCCCCAGGATATCCAGTTAACCCACCAGGGAACCCCCAGGATGCCAGGGAAAGTGCCCAGGGATGGAGCAAACCCCACCAGGATTCCCAGGAATCCACCCAGGGACAGAGGGAACTCCTCAAGACTCCCAGAAATCGCCCCCGGGAGCCCCTCAGCACCCCCAGGGGTGCAGGGAACCCCCCGGTACCCCCAGGAATCCCCCAGGGCTGGAAGGGAACCCCCCAGCACCCCCAGCCCCGGGGCTGGCGCTCACCAGGAAGCGGAGGCGGGCGAGGCCCAGGCCGGTGCCGCTGCGCAGGTGATCCGCCAGGCGCCCCGGCGTGGCCACCACCACGTGCGGCCGGCGGGCCAGCGCCAGCGCCTGGGACACCATGTCTGGGGGGACAGGGGGACAGGCTGGGAACGGGGCTGGGAATGGGGGAACGGGGGAACGGGGCTGGGAATGGGGGAACAGGCTGGGAATGGGGCTGGGAATGGGGGAACGGGGCTGGGAACGGGGGGAGTGGGCTGGGAACAATGGGAACCGGGGGAACAGGGCTGGGAATGATGGAAAGGGGGCTGGGAATGGGCTGGGAACAGTGGGAACACTGGGAATGGGGCTGGGAATGGGCTGGGAATGGGCTGGGAACGGGGCTGGGAATGGGCTGGGAACAGTGGGAACACTGGGAATGGGGCTAGAAATGATAGGAATGATGGGAACTATGGGAATGGGGCTGGGAACAGTGAGAATACTGGGAATGGGGCTGGGAGCAGGGTAAGGAATAGGAAATGGGGCTGGGCACAGCGGGAGCGGGGCAGGGCAGCCCCCAGACTCACCCAGGCCGCCCACCACCACGCAGTCCTTGAGGCCCAGGGGCTTGCCCAGCACGCGGAACTGCTCGGCGATCTGGTACGCCAGCTCCCTGGGGGATGGCTGCACTGGGACACGGGGCTCCCCAGGGCTCCCCCCAGCCCCACGGGGCTCCCCCACATCCCACGGGGCTCCTCCCAGCCCCACAGGGCTCCCCAAATCCCCCAGGGCTCCTCCCAGCCCCCCAGAGCTCCCCCACATCCCACGGGGCTCCTCCCAGCCCCACAGGGCTCCCCCACATCCCACGGGGCTCCCCCTCAGCCCCCCAGAGCTCCCCCAAATCCCACAGGGCTCCTGGGATGGGAATGGGGAACGGGGAAGGGAAACGGGAACGGGGATGGGCTGTCAGCTCCGGGGATGGGGAAAGGGAATGGGGAATGGGGAACGGGGACGGGCCATCAGCTCCGGGAAACGGGGACAAGGGAACGGGAAACGGGGACGGGGAAATGGGAACAGGGGAAAGGAACCGGGAAATGGGACCAGGGAACGGGGAAAGGGGAAAGGAAATGAGGAACGGGAACGGGGAAAGGGAAATGGGGCATGGGAGGGGGAAGGGGGAACGGGAAACAGGAAAAGGGACGGAACGGGGCACGGGAAGGGGAAAGGGAAACGGGACCGGGAACCGGGAGGGCAACGGCCGGACCGAGACCGGGGAACGGGAAAAGGGGCACGGGGGGAGAGCGGCCGGGCCCGGGGAGGGACGGGACCGCGAGGGGCCGTGCCGAGCCGGGCCGTGCCGAGCGCTCACCCTGCAGCACGGCCGGGATGCAGGCGGCCTGCACGGGCGTGGGCCGCAGCAGCCCCACCTGCCGCGCCTGCTCCGCCAGCCACGGCGCCAGCCCGAGCGCCCGGAACGCCGCCATGCCGCCGCGCGCCCCGATGGCGTCACCGCCGCGCCCCGATGGCGTCACCGCCGCGCGCGACGCTCATTGGCCGGCTCGCTCCAACCCCGCCCACACGCCGCGCCGCGCGTCGCTTTGCTGACGTCTCCTCCTCCTATTGGCGGTCTCCATGGAGACGGCGGCTCCCGGCGTGCCCCGCGGCGCGGGCGCTTCCGGGCCAGTGGCTGAGGCGATGGCGGCGGCGGCGGCGGCCGGGGAGGCGGACGAGCTCTTCGACCTCCGCAACAACTTCTACATCGGCGCCTTCCAGGCCGCCATCAACGAGGCGCAGCGGGCCAAGGTCGGGCACGGCGGGCGGCGCTGCCCGGGCCGCGGGAGGGCTGCGGTGGGGCGGGCTCGTGTGGGGTGGGTTTTGTGAGGTGGGTTTGTGTGGGGTGGGTTTTATGGGGTGGGTTTCTCTGGGGCTGGTTTTTGGGGCGGGTTTGTGTGGGGTTTTGTGGGTGGGGTTGGTTTTACGGGGCTGTTTTGGGCGGGGTTGGTTTTGTGGGCTGGGTTTTGTGGGGCTGTGGCTGTGGGGTTTTCCTGTGGGGCTTTGTGGGGCTGCTTTGGGGTCCCTGAGGGTCGCTGTCCCCCCAGCCCAGCAGCCCCCAGAGGGAGGTCGAGCGGGACGTGTTCCTGTTCCGAGCCTACATCGCCCAGGTGAGCCTGGGGGGGGCAGGGCCCAGCCCGGGCCAGCCTGGGTGCCAGGGACCCTCCCCGTGCCTCCTCCCTGCCTGCCCGCGGGCCCAGCCCGGGCCAGCCTGGGTGCCAGGGACCCTCCCCGTGCCCTCTCCCTGGGTGCCAGGGACCCTCCCTGGGTGCCAGGGACCCTCCCCGTGCCCCCTCCCTGGGTGCCAGGGACCCTCCCTGGGTGCCCGGGACCCTCCCTGAGTGCCAGGGACCCTCCCTGGGTGCCCGGGACCCTCCCTGGATGCCCGGGACCCTCCCTGTGCCCCCTGCCTGCCCGGGACCCTCCCCGTGCCCCTCGCCCTGGGCCCAGTCCCTGCCCAGGGATCAGGGGCAGCCACAGCTGCTCTGGGAATTCCAGCCAGGAATTCCTGCCCAAATCCCAGCCAGGTTCCCCTTTCCAGTTCACACCCATCCCCTGTGCCCTGGGGTTCCCAAATCCATGCCCTGCTCCTGGCATTCCCAATCCCCAGATCCATTCCCTGCTCCTGTCCCTGCAGATCTTCGAGTTCTGATCAAACCTCAACCTCCCTTCTCCTCCCTCCCTTCCTTCTCTTCTCTTCTTTCTTTTCTTTGCCTTCCTGCTTCTCTTGATTTTCCTTCCTTTCCTGCTTTTCCTTCTTTTCATTCCTTTCCTTTTTCTCCCTCCTTTCCTTCCTCTCCTTTCCTGTTTTTGTGCGTTTCCTTCCTTTCTCCTCCTTCTTCTCCTTCTTTTTCTTCTTCCTTTTCTGCTTTTCCTTCCTTTCTTCTCCTTCTTTTCCTGCTCTCCTTGCTGCCCGGGACCCTCCCTGCCTGCCCGGGACCCTCCCTGTGCCCCCTGCCTGCCCGGGACCCTCCCTGGGTGCCAGGGACCCTCCCTGGGTGCCCGGGACCCTCCCTGGGTGCCAGGGACCCTCCCTGGGTGCCCGGGACCCTCCCTGCCTGCCCGGGACCCTCCCTGTGCCCCCTGCCTGCCCGGGACCCTCCCCGTGCCCCTCGCCCTGGGCCCAGTCCCTGCCCAGGGATCAGGGGCAGCCACAGCTGCTCTGGGAATTCCAGCCAGGAATTCCTGCCCAAATCCCACCCGGGTTCCCCTTTCCAGTTCACACCCATCCCCTGTGCCCTGGGGTTCCCAAATCCATGCCCTGCTCCTGGCATTCCCAATCCCCAAATCCATGCCCTGCTCCTGGCATTCCCAGTCCCCAGATCCATTCCCTGCTCCTGTCCCTGCAGATCTTCGAGTTCTGATCAAACCTCAACCTCCCTTCTCCTCCCTCCCTTCCTTCTCTTCTCTTCTTTCTTTTCTTTGCCTTCCTGCTTCTCTTGATTTTCCTTCCTTTCCTGCTTTTCCTTCTTTTCATTCCTTTCCTTTTTCTCCCTCCTTTCCTTCCTCTCCTTTCCTGTTTTTGTGCGTTTCCTTCCTTTCTCCTCCTTCTTCTCCTTCTTTTTCTTCTTCCTTTTCTGCTTTTCCTTCCTTTCTTCTCCTTCTTTTCCTGCTCTCCTTGCTCTTCTTGCTCTCCCTTCTCTTTGTTTTCCTTCCCTTCCTGCTTTTCTTGATTTTCCTTCTCCTCCTTCTCCTCCTCCTTCTTCTTCTTTTCCTTCTTTTTCCTCTTTTCCTTTTGCTTCTCCTCCTCCTCCTTTTTCTCCTCCCTGTCCCTGTCCCATCCCCTGTCCCTGTGTCCCTGTCCCTGTGTCCCTCTGTCCCTGTGTCCCCTCCGTGTCCCCTCCGTGTCCCCGCTGTGTTGCAGAGGAAGTTTGGGGTGGTTCTGGACGAGCTGCAGGGCAGCCCCAGCCCCGAGCTGCAGGCTGTCAGGATGTTTGCTCAGTTCCTGGCCAGCGACAGCCAGAGGTGAGGGGCAGCCCTGCAATCCCTGAAATCCTGCAATCCCTGCAGTTCCTGCAATCCCTGAAATCCTGCAATCCCTGCAGTTCCTGCAATCCCTGAAATCCCTGAAATCCCGGGGCTGGGGCTTGTGGGGGGGCACAGCTCCTGCAATTCCTGCATCCCTGCAATCCCTGCAGCCCTGAAATCCCTGCAGCCCTGCAATCCCTGAAATCCTGCAATCCCTGCAGCCCTGCAATCCCTGCAGCCCTGCAATCCTGCAATCCCTGCAGTTCCTGCAATGCCTGAAATCCCTGCAATCCCTGAAATCCCTGCAGTTCCTGGAATCCCTGCCCGGGGCTGGGGCTTGTGGGGGGGCACAGCTCCTGCAATCCCTGCAATTCCTGCATCCCTGCAGCCCTGCAATCCCTGCAATTCCTGCATCCCTGCAGTCCCTGCAGTCCCAGAGCTCTGGGGTGGAGGGGTTTCAGTATCCAGGGATCCCTTCCAGGGTCCCAGGGAGCTCCAGCCTGGCCGTGGCCCCTTCCAGGGATGGAGCAGCCACAGCTTCTCCTCTCTTCTCCCCCATTTCTCCCCCTATTTCCCCCTCATTTTCTCCCCCATTTTCTCCTCATTTCCCCCCATATTTTCCCCCCCATTGCCCCCACCCCTGCCCCTGTCCCCCCACAGGGACTCCATCGTGGCAGAGCTGGACAAGAAGATGGCCAAGAGCGTGGACGTGGCCAACTGCACCTTCCTGCTGATGGCAGCCTCCATCTACTGCCACCAGCAGGACCCCGACGCTGCGCTGCGGGCCCTGCACCAGGGGGACAGCCTGGAATGGTGAGGGACCCCAAAAACGGGGTCACAAACGGGGATCTGCACCAGGGGGACAGCCTGGAATGGTCAGGGACCCCAAAAACGGGGTCACAAACGGGGATCTGCACCAGGGGGCCAGCCTGGAAGGGTCGGGGACCCCAAAAACGGGGTCACAAACAGGGATCAGGGGCCCTGCACCAGGGGGACAGCCTGGAATGGTCAGGGACCCCAAAAATGGGGTCACAAATGGGGATCAGGGGCCCTGCACCAGGGGGACAGCCTGGAATGGTCAGGGACCCCAAAAATGGGGTCACAAACGGGGATCTGCACCAGGGGGACAGCCTGGAATGGTCAGGGACCCCAAAAATGGGAGGGGAATGAGATCCTGAGGGCCCTGCACCAGGGGGACAGCCTGGAATGGTCAGGGACCCCAAAATGGGCTCAGATCCTGCCCTCAAACAGGGACCAGCCCTTCCCTGGGATTTGAGGTCACGCTCAGGAGCTCTGGAAGCATCCAGAGGCTCCTCAGAGGTTTTTGCTTTTGGGGATTTGGGGTTTTCCCTGCACTTCCCACGGGGAATGGGAGAGTTTGGATATTGATCCATGTGGGATCTGAGCTGGGAGGGAGCTGGGAGTTTGGGTTGGGAGGGACCCCCAGGGCCATCCCAGGTGGGTTTGGGGTCCCCCAGGACCATCCCAGGTGGGTTTGGGGTCAGGACAGACCCCCAGGACCATCCCAGGTGTCCCTGAGCCCTGTGCAGATGTCCCAGGGCTGGGATCAGCTGGGTCAGTCCCTGTCCTGTCCCTGTTCTGTCCCTGCAGCTTGGCCATGATGATCCAGATCCTGCTGAAGCTCGACAGGCTCGACCTGGCCAGGTGGGACTGACCTTCCCTTTTTCCTTTCCCCTTTTTCCTTTTCCCTTTTCCTTTCCCTTTTTCCTTTTTTCTTTTCCTTTCCCTTTTTCATTTCCATTTCAATTTTTCCTTTTGCTTTTTCCTTTTTCTTTTCCTTCCTCTTTCCCTTTTTCATTTTTCCTTTCCCTTTTTCATTTCCTCTTCTCCTTTTCCTTTTTCCTTTCCTTTTTCCTTTCTCCTCCTCCTCCTTCTCCTCCTCCTTCCCCTTTCCCATTTCCAGGAGTCAAACCAGGCCTCTCCTGGTGAAATAAGCCACAGAAAACTCAAGGGAGAAGCCCCAGATGTTTTGGGTTTGTGCTGCAATCCCTTTCCTTTGTGCTTCCCCCTTTTCCTGCAGGAAGGAGCTGAAGAAGATGCAGGAGCAGGATGAGGATGCCACCCTGACCCAGCTGGCCACAGCCTGGGTGAACCTGGCCTTGGTGGGTGCCCCCTGTGCCAGGAGGAGCCAGATGGTCCCAAAACATCCCAAAGTGCCCCAGGGAGCTGCTCTGCTGCCCCCAGCCAGACCCCAGGACACAAAATGTCCTTAAGGAGGTTTGGGAATGAGGCAAAACCGCTGAGTTTGGGGGTGCAGGAGGGGTGGGATCAAACTCCCCCAGTTCCTGGGATCACACAGCTTGGGTTCCCATTAATAAACTGCAATTCCTGAAATCCAGGATCACACAGCTTGGGTTCCCATTAATAAACTGCAATTCCTGAAATCCAGGATCACACAGCTTGGGTTCCCATTAATAAACTCCTAATCAGGATTTCCCAGCCCAGGGCTGATCCCTGGCTGTAAATCAGGAATTCCCATGACCCCAAAGGTGTAAATGAGGGTTCCCCAGCCCAGGGCTGACCCCAGGGATGCAGATCAGGAATTCCCATGACCCTGAGGATGTCAATGAGGGTTCCCCAGCCCAGGGCTGACCCCAGGGATGCAGATCAGGAATTCCCATGACCCTGAGGATGTCAATGAGGGTTCCCCAGCCCAGGGCTGACCCCGAGGATGCAGATCAGGAATTCCCATGACCCCAGGGATGTCAATCAGGGTTCCCCAGCCCAGGGCTGACCCTGAGGATGGAGATCAGGATTTCCCAGCCCAGGGCTGACCCCAGGGATGCAGATCAGGAATTCCCATGACCCTGAGGATGTCAATGAGGGTTCCCCAGCCCAGGGCTGACCCCGAGGATGCAGATCAGGAATTCCCATGACCCCAGGGATGTCAATCAGGGTTCCCCAGCCCAGGGCTGACGTGGCTGCCGTGTCCTTGCAGGGTGGGGACAAGCTGCAGGACGCCTTCTACACGTTCCAGGAGCTGGCAGACAGGTACTGCCCGTCCCTGCTGCTGCTCAACGGGCAGGCTGCTGCTGCCATGGCCCAGGGCCGCTGGGACGAGGCCGAGGGGCTGCTCCAGGAGGCTCTGGACAAGGTACGGGGACGGGGACAGGGACAGGGGCAGGGGGACAGGGACAGGGGCAGGGGCAGGGACAGTCTGGGGGGACAGGGACAGCCCCAATTCACACGGGGACAGGGACAGCCCAGAGTCCCGACAGCCCAGGGGGACAGGGACAGGGACAGCCTGGGGGGACGGGGGCAGGGGCAGGGGGACAGGGACAAGGACAGCCCCAATTCCACAGGGACAGGGACAGCCCCAAATTCCCAGAGTTCTGCTCAAATCCACAGCAATTCATGGATCCAGCTCGCTGTGCTTGGGCTGGCAGAGTAGTTTGTTTTGGTTTATTTTATTTTATTTTGTTTTACTTAATAACATTTCATTTCAATTCAGTATTTGATCATGTTTTATATTTTCTTTCATCTTGAGTTGTATTTAATTTTATATTTTATTTATTGTAGTGTATTGTATTTTATTAAATTTTATTGGTTCTGTTTTATTGGTTATTTTATTTTACTTTGTTATTTTTTAATTTAATTTTTATTTTATTTTATAATATTTTATTTTATAATATTTCATTTTAGTATTTGATCTTATTTTATATTTTATTTCATCTTGAGTTGTATTTAATTTTATGTTTTATTTATTGTATTGTATTTTATTAAATTTTATTGGTTGTGTTTTATTGGTTATTATTTATTTATTTATTTTCTATTTTATCATTTATTTCCTCATGCCATGCCACCTCCCCAGCCCAGGTGGCTCCAGGCCAGCCTGGGGCAGGGAGGATTCCTGTGGGAATTCCCTCCCAGGTCCCAAACCCTGTCTGGGGTTTCTTTCCCCTTTCTGCCCCCCTTGCAGGACAGTGGGCACCCCGAGACCCTGCTGAACCTGGTGGTGCTGTCCCAGCACCTGGGCAAGGCCCCCGAGGTGAGGGGGCTGGGCCAGGGGGGATGGGGTCCTTTTGGGGTCATTTTGGGGTAAATGGGGTCATTGTGGGATGAATGGGGTCATTGTGGGGGAAATGGGGTCCTTTTGGGGATAAATGGGGTCATTGTGGGGGAAATGGGGTCCTTTTGGGGGAATGGGGTCATTTTGGGGATAAATGGGGTCCTTTTGGGGGAAATGGGGTCATTGTGGGATGAATGGGGTCATTGTGGGGGAAATGGGATCCTTTTGGGGATAAATGGGGTCATTTTGGGGATAAATGGGGTCATTGTGGGGGAAATGGGGTCCTTTTGGGGGAATGGGGTCATTTTGGGGATAAATGGGGTCCTTTTGGGGGAAATGGGGTCATTGTGGGATGAATGGGGTCATTGTGGGGGAAATGGGATCCTTTTGGGGATAAATGGGGTCATTTTGGGGATAAATGGGGTCATTGTGGGGGAAATGGGGTCCTTTTGGGGGAATGGGGTCATTTTGGGGATAAATGGGGTCCTTTTGGGGGAAATGGGGTCATTGTGGGATGAATGGGGTCATTGTGGGGGAAATGGGATCCTTTTGGGGATAAATGGGGTCATTTTGGGGATAAATGGGGTCATTGTGGGGGAAATGGGGTCCTTTTGGGGGAATGGGGTCATTTTGGGGATAAATGGGGTCCTTTTGGGGGAAATGGGGTCATTGTGGGATGAATGGGGTCATTGTGGGGGAAATGGGATCCTTTTGGGGATAAATGGGGTCATTTTGGGGATAAATGGGGTCATTGTGGGGGAAATGGGGTCCTTTTGGGGGAATGGGGTCATTTTGGGGATAAATGGGGTCCTTTTGGGGGAAATGGGGTCATTGTGGGATGAATGGGGTCATTTTGGGATCATTTGGGGGTAAATGGGGTCAGTGTGGAACTATTTTGGGGGTAATGGGGGAATTTTGAGACAATTTGGAGAATAAATGGGCTCGTTTTGGGGATAAATGGGCTCATTTTGGGACCATTTTGGGGTAAATGGGTAATTTTGGGATAAATTGTACCAGTGCCAGCAGGATTTGGGGTAAAGGGGTTCATTTTGGGGTAAAGGGGTTCATTTTGGGGTAAATGGGTTCCTTTTGGGGGTAAATGGGTTCATTTTGGGGGTAAATGGGGTCATTTTGGGGGTAAATGGGTTCATTTTGGGGGTAAATGGGGTCATTTTGGGGTAAAGGGGTTCATTTTGGGGGTAAATGGGGTCATTTTGGGACCATTTTGGGGACGGGGAGCTCACAGCCCCAGGGATCTGTTTGGGATTTGGGGGATTGGATTTTTCCCATGGAAGTCGTTGATCCTCGAGGTCCCTTCCAACCCAAACCATTCCAGAATTCAGATTATTGAGAAAAGAAAAACCCTGGGCAGAAAAAACCTTTGGAGTTCCAAGTTCAGCTCTTCCTGATTTTATTTTTTTGCTTGGAACCCCCTGGAAAGTTGATTTTGAAGAGTTTTATTTTTTATTTCAAGCGTGTGCATGGCTCCTACTGGGCTGAACTGGGGCAGTGAGAAAATCAGGATTTTAGGTGTAAAAACCCCACATTTAGGTGGGATTTGTTGCACTCTGCCATCTCAAAAGTGAATTTTTTTTGTTCCTCCAGGTCACCAATCGTTACCTGTCCCAGCTTAAGGATGCTCACAAAAACCATCCCTTCATCAAGGAGTACCAGGCCAAGGTAGGGAACGGCAGAAAACAGAAATGAGAATAGAAAGAAATGAAATAAATTGGATTTTCCCCCATCAGGGGGTTCTTTCCAAACAAATCCCAAGGGGGCAGCTCCATCTCGTTGAGTTTTTCCTTTTGGGAATCACAAGCCTGGAAGAAAAAAATGCAGATTTTTAATCCAGGTGGAAATTTTGTGCTCAAAATGGGAAAAAAATGGGAGAGGGGAAGGGAAAAGCAGCAAATGATAAAAATAATTAAAAAAAGGATAAATGGGATTTGCTGCTGGAATTAATTTAGTTTCAGGGAGCTGATTGTGGTGTGTTCAGGTAGAGGAGGGTGGTAAATGTAAATTGGAGGATGATTGATTGGTAATAATTAATTAATGATCAATTTAATCCATTTGTTTTTGGCTGTGGTTGCAGGAGAACGACTTTGACCGCCTGGCCCTGCAATATGCACCCAGTGCCTGAGCCTGGAAAATCCCTTTGGGGCCCAAAAAATCCCTTTGGGACCCCAAAAAATCCCTTTGGGACCCAAAAAATCCCTTTGGGGCTCAAAAAAATCCCTTTGGGGCCCAAAAAACCCCTTTGGGACCCCAAAAAATCCCTTTGGGACCCAAAAATGCCCTCTGGGATAGGGAAAATCCCCCCTGGAACCCAGGAAATGCCCTCTGCACCCCAGCTCCTGCGGGAGCCCCCAAATTTGGGGTGAAATTTTGGGTTTTGAGCCCCAGCTGAGCCCCGAACTCTGCTCCAAGGAGACCCCCAGAGCCCCTGAGCCTTTCCCAAGAAATGGAATTTATTCCTGGGTCTCTGTCCCTGGAATTTCTGGGGGGGGGGAGTGGGAAGGGGAAATTCCAAAATCCCCACGGATCCATCCCAAATCCTGCATCATCCTCCAGCCCTTCTGACAATTCCCTTGGGGATAAAAATCCCTGGGCTGGCTGCTGGCGAGAGGGAAAACCCCAAAATAATAAAGAAATTAATACAAATAAAATTAAAAATAATTCTCTGTAATAGGCTGAGTCTGATGTCTCTCCTGCTGTGTCCTTGTCACCAATCCCTGATGGGTCCAACCTGGAATTTTTAGGGATTATTGTGGCAGAAATCCCCCTGGAATTTCCCCAATCCCAGCCAGATCCAACCTGGATTTTTTAGGAATTCTGACCCCCCCCACTCCCCACGGAATTTCCTCAATCCCTGCTGGGTCCAACCTGATTTTTTTAGGAATTATTGTGGCAGAAATCCCCCTGGAATTTCCCCAGATCCAAACAGGATTTTTAGGAATTCTGACCCCCCCTCCCCACGGAATTTCCTCAATCCCTGCTGGGTCCAACCTGATTTTTTTAGGAATTATTGTGGCACAGATCCCCCTGGGAATTTCCCTGGATTTTTAGGAATTCTGGCCCCCTCCCCTTGGCGTTTCCCCCGAGGTTTGGGATTCTCCCTGGTGGCACTGAAAGGTCCCTTTGTGCCCGCCTGGCTCGGGCACGGCGTCCCCTCAATGTCCCCTCAATGTCCCTTTGTCCCTTTGTGCCGCTCTGAAAGGGCCCAGTGTGCTCAGGGGGGACACGGGGGGGACACGGGCGCTTAAAATGAGCTTAAAACTGTCTTTTATTGAGGTTTTTATTTCATGTTTGTATTGGGTTTATTTTATATCGGGTTTATTTTATGTTTATATTGTTTATATTGGCACCTGAGACCCCCAAATTTGCACTCAAATGCCCTCAACTGGCACCTAAAAGCCCAAAATTGGCACCTGAGACCCCAAAATTGACACTTGAGACCTCCAAAGTGGCATCTGAGACCCCAAAGTGGCACCAGAATCCCCCAAATTCGCACTTGAATCCCCTCAATTGGCACCTGAGACCCCCAAACTGGTACCCAGGACTCCCAAAGTGGCACCCGAGACCCCAAATTCGCACTCAAATCCCTTCAATTGGCACCTAAACCACCAAAACTGGCACCGGAGACCCCCCAGATCGGCATCTGACACCCCAAAATTGGCACTTGAGACCCCAAAATTGGCATCTAAGACCCTCCAACTGGCATCTGAGACCTCAAAATTGGCCCTCAAGACCCCAAAGCGGCCCCCGAGTCCCCGTAGCGGCGGCTCCGCGCTGTGCCATGGCCGTGCCATCACCGTGCCATCTCCGTGCCATGGCCGTGCCATCTCCGTGCCATGGCCGTGCTATCACTGTGCCATCTCCGTGCCATCTCCGTGCCATGGCCGTGCCCCTCCCAGCCGCCCCCCGCGCTTCCCCGGCTGCGCACAGCGCTCCCCCCTCTCCCAGCACCCCCGGTACCGAAATTCGGGATTTTTTCCCCCTCCCGCGGCGCCTCCATCGCGCTCCCCCCGCGCTCCTTGCCCTGGGCTGCCCGCGCCCCCTCCGGGAGCCCCGGCCGGGCCGAGGGGGCCGGGCCGTGCCAGGGGGCGGCCCCNGGGGGGACGGGGGGAGAACGCGGGGGAACGGGGGAAGAACGCGGGGAGAGCGCGGGGGAACGCGGGGGGAAGGCGTGGGGCAGCGGGCGCCCCCGCTGCGGGGTTGGGGATGCAGGGAAATGCGTTTGTGGGGCGAGGGATGCGCCCCAGTTCTGCCGCCGGAGCCGCATCCCCGAGCACCGAGCATCCCCGGGGAGCGGGAGAGCCCCCCCGCCGCCTTCCGCCGCCTCCCCCCGCCGCCTTCCCGGCGCTGCAGCCCCGCAAGGCTGAGCGGATTTTCTTCCAGGTTACTGGCAGGTTGTTCCGTGCCTCCCTGCGCCGCTGCATCCCTGAGGATGGAGCATCCCGGTGCGCCGGGAGAGCCCCCCCGCTCCGATTCCCCGTGCCCCTTCCCCCCGGATCCATCCCCCATCCCCTCAAGGCTGGGGTTATTTCTTCCCGGTTATTCCCGTGTTGTTCCGTGCCTTTTACCGGGAGCTGCATCCTGTAGGATCTGAGCATCCCTGAGCACCGGCAGGGCCCCCCTGCTCATCTTCCCCCTTATTCCCCCCACGTTTCCATCCCCACAAGGTTGAAGGTTATTTCTCCCCGGTTATTCCCGGATTTTTTGTGCCTTTCCCGGGGCCGCTTCCCGAAGGATTTGAGTCCCCCCTGCTCCTCCCCCGCTCCGTTCCCATCCCCGCATCCTCAGAAGGTCACGGATCTTTTCCTTCCCGTTCGCTCCCAGCTCTTCCCTTGCCCGGGGGGGGAAGAAGGGTGACACAGAGGTGACATGGAGGGGACACGGAGGGGACACGGAGGGGACACGGAGGGGACACGGAGGGGACACATTCCTGCGGGTTTGGAGCAGATCTCCGTGCCCGGCTCGCTGCTGCAGCGCGGGGATGCAGCGCTGCCGCCGGGCCCCGCAGCCGCGGAGCGCTGTCCCCACACTGTCCCCACACTGTCCCCTGCTGTCCCCCGCTGTCCCCACACTGTCCCCACCGCTGTCCCCCCACATCGAAGGGGCTGTGGGTGAGGAAATTGCTGGGAATTTGTGCCAGGATGGATTTCCCCCAGTCCCCGTCAGGTTCTGAGGGGTCAAAGAAGCTGTGGGTGAGCTGTGAGCGGAATTTACACCAGGCCTGATTTCCCCCATTCCCTGTCTGTCCATGAGGGGTTGAGGGGGCTGTGGGTGAGGAATCTGCTGGGAAATTTTGCCAGGATGGATTTCCCTCATCCCCTGTCTGGCTCTGAGGCATTGAAGGGGCTGTGGGTGAGGAAAGTGCTGGGATTTTGTGCCAGACTGAATTTCCCTCCTTCCTTGTCAGGTTCTGAGGGGTCAAAGGGGCTGTGGGTCAGGAAAGTGCTGGGAATTTGTGCCAGGCCTGATTCCCTCATCCCCTGTCTGTCCATGAGGGGTTGAAGGGACTGTGGGTGAGAACTGTGAGGGGAATTTGTGCCAGACTGAATGTCCCCCACGCCCTGTCTGGCTCTGAGGGGTCAAAGGGGCTGTGGGTGAAGTTTGTGAGGGGAATTTTTGCCAGGCTGGATTTTCCCTCATTCCCTGTCAGTTTCTGAGGGCTCAAAGGGTCTTTGGGTGAGAACTGTGGGGGGAATTTGTGCCAGACTGAATGTCCCTCACGCCCTGTCTGGCTCTGAGGGGTCAAAGAGGCTGGAGGTGAAGTTTGTGAGGGGGATTTGTGCCAGGCCTGATTTCCCCCATTCCCAGTCTGTCCATGAGGGCTTGAAGGGGCTGTGGGTGAAGTTTGTGAGGGGAATTTGTGCCAGGCTGGATTTTCTCCATCCCCTGTCAGGGGTTTAAGGGGCTGTGGGTGAGGAAAGTGCTGGGATTTTGTGCCAGACTGAATTTCCCTCCTTCCTTGTCAGGTTCTGAGGGGTCAAAGGGGCTGTGGGTCAGGAAAGTGCTGGGAATTTGTGCCAGGCCTGATTCCCCCCATTCCCATTCTGCCTCTGAGGGGTTGAAGGGGCTGGGGGTGAGGAAAGTGCTGGGAATTTGTGCCAGGCTGGATTTCCCTGGCAGCTCCTGGCAGGTCCTGGCAGCCCCGAGGTGCCGTTCCTGGGGAAATGGGTCACTGCTGTAACTGCAGAAGGGCCAGGGGGGCTGAGGGGTTCCTGTGGCTCCAGCTGCCCGTGCTGATGCTGATGAGATGCTGAGCAGGGCTCTGGTGGCATCAGCTTTCCCCCGGGAGGGAGGGACAGCTCCGTCTCCAGGGCTGTATTTTAAAAAGATTGGAACATTTCCTGGCTGGAATTGCTGTGGGCAGGGATGGGAGCTGTGGATTTTCTGGAAAAGCTGCCAGGTTTGGGTCTCAGAGCCCCTGGGAGGGCAGGGCTGGGTCAGGATGGTTCAAGGGGGGAAAAAAGTTGTTTGAGCCCGGGACCTTCTGCCCTGCTCAGGATTTTGCTTCTCGGGGCATCCTTCCTCACTTGGAGGCTGAAATGCGTCCTGAGAGCCTCCCTGCCTGCTCAGGAGCCAGGATTCTGGAAAAACAGGATGCTAGAAAGTCATGATTCTGGAAATTCAGGATGCTGGAAATTCAGGATCCTGGAAACTGAGGATTCTGGGAATTTAGAATTCTGGAAAATCAGGATACTGGAAATTCAGGTTTCTGGAAATTCAGGATCCAGGAATCCAGGATTCTGGGAATTCAGAATTCTGGAAAATCAGGCTTCTGGAAAAAGAGGATACTGGAAATGCACGATTCTGGAAATTCAGGATCCTGGAAAATCAGGATCCTGGGAATTCAGAATTCTGGAAATTTAGGATCCTGGAAATTCAGGATCCTGGGAATTGAGGATCCTGGGAATTCAGGATTCCTGGTGCCCTTGAAGCAGCTGTCCCCCCTGCAGCACTGCCAGGGTTTCGCTCCCAGTCCCAGCCTGGTGTGGGGGTGTCCCCGCAGTGTCCCCAGCCCCGTGTGGGAGCCGAGGACACCGAGCTGGGGCAGCTCTGCCTTCCCTGCTGCGGGCACCGGGCCGGAGCTGCAGGGGAGAGAAGCCACAAAGGGCCCTTTGTGCCCTCTGCTGTGCCAGCGCCGGGACAGCGACAGCGCTCCTGCTGCTGCCCGCGGGGAGGGGATCCGGGGCACCAAACCATGGCTTCTGCTCGGTGTCGGGGGGAACCGGCTTTGGGGGGGAACCGCCTTTTGGGGAGGGAAAATTGCCTTTTTTGGGGGGAAATTGCCTTTTTTGGGTGGAAAATTGCCTTTTGCCACTGGTGGAGCTGGGAAATGTTGGCCAGAGCTTGGCACAGTGTGGGGAAACTGAGGCACGGAGCTGCTGTGGGGACGGGGAGAGGGGAGTGGGGTGGGTGACAGTCACTGCCCCGGTGTCCCCGGGCTCCTCTGACCTCACAGATCAGGGATTTTTCCTGGATTTTCCTTTTTCAGGCTGTCAGGGCAGCGCTGGGTGGGATTTTGGGGAGGAATTGTTCCACTTGGGGCGGAATTCCCAAAGAAGCTGCAGCTGCCCTGTCCCTGGCAGTGCCCCAGGATGGGGGACAGAGGGGACAGGGGGACAGGGGGCACCGAGCCCCCTGGGCACCCCCGGCCCTGGGCAGGGGCAGGAGCCCCGGGCCGGGCCCGGGAGCTGTCCTGGCTCATCCCTCCCCGCTGGCACTGCCAGTTCCCGGGGATGCTCCGTGCCAGCCGCTCCTTTGTGTCCCTGGGGAACGTTCTGTGCCCGCGGCCAGCCCTGGCACCAGCCCTGGCACCGCCGGGCTCCTTCCAGCCCTGGCACCAGCCCTGGGGCATCCGGCTCCTCCGGACTGCCCTTCCCCCTGCCCGGCTCTGCTGGGCTCTGCTGATGGGGCTGGGGTGGGATTCAGGGGTTCCTGGAGCTGGGGGTGGATTTAGGGATGCAGGGATGGATTTAGCAATCCCCACTGAGGATTTAGGGGTCCCAGAGATGCATTTAGGGATCCCTGGCTGAGGATTTAGGGGTCCCTGGGATGGATTTAGGGATCCCTGGGGGTGGATTTAGGGATCCAGGGATGGATTTAGGGATCCCCAGGGATGGATTTAGGGATCCCCGGGGGTGGATTTAGGGATCTCCAGGGATGCATTTAGGGATCCCAGGGATGGGTTTAGGGGTCCTGGCTGTGCTGGAGGCTGGCAAAGGGAGCAGCTGCCTTCTCTCCTCTCCTGACCCCGGGGCAGCCCCAGCTCCTCGGGGCTCCTGTGCCAGCCCCTTCCCCCCGAGGAGGAGGAGGAAGGGGAGGGGGAGGAGGAGGGGAGGCAGGGGGACGCTGCCCTTCAAGCAGGGCCCCGTGGCTCACAGCCAGCAGCCCTGGCTCCTCCAGCCCAGCCGGATCCCGGCTCCTGGCGCGGCTCCGTCGCCCGTAGCAACAGGCATCTCTGCGCCGTCACCATGGCAACGGCAGCCGGGTGATGGGAGGACATCCCCCGCCCCCCTCCCCCCCCGGGGCAGAGCGGGCAGCCCCAGGGACACCCCGTGTCCCCCTGTCCCCCCTGTCCCCCTCTGGGGCCACCTCCCCTTCCTGGAGCCCCGGGATGGGGGGGGGCTGGGGCTCCCCAAACCTCCTGGGGTGAGCAGGGATTTGAGGCTGAGCTCGGATCCCAAATCCACCCTGGGACAGGGGAAGGGACCCCACAGATCCCTGAGGGCCCTCCCTCTCCAAACCTCCTGGGGTGAGCAGGGATTTGAGGCTCAGCATCCCAAATCCAGCCTGGGACAGGGGAAGGGATCCCACGGATCTTTGTGATCTCCCCCACCCCAAGCCCTTATGGGATGAGCGGGGATTTGAGGCCAAGCTCAGGTGCCAAATCCACGCTGGGATAGGGCAAGGACTGGAACTGGATGATCCCTGTGGTCCCTCTCCCCTCAGACCCTTGTGGGGTGAGCAGGGCTTTGAGGATCCCAAATCCCCTGGGCTGTCCCCGTGTCCCTGCCGTGTGGACACCCCAGGAACCGAAGCTCTCTGTGCATTATTGATCCCGCTCTGAGCCTGCTCCTCTTTTCCCCTGGAGAAGGCCTTGGGAGCAGCTCCCAGCGTGGGACGTGCCCAGAAACCCCAGAGCTTTTGGGATTGGAGCCCAGAAACCCCAGAGCTTTTGGGATTGGAGCCCAGAAACCCCAGAGCTTTTGGGATTGGAGTCCAGAAACCCCAGAGCTTTTGGGATTGGAGTCCAGAAACCCCAGAGCTTTTGGGATCGGAGCCCCTGGAGAAGGGGCCAAGCACCGGGGACAGCTGGGGCCTTAATTTAGGAGCAGAAAGTGCTGACCCAGGCAGGGTCCTGTTACTCTGCAGAGTTTTGTTTTCTCCTGGGGCTCATCCGGAGCTCCAGGGGCGGTTCTGGGGGGATTTGGGATTTCTCAGGGACCCCGGTGCTGGCACTGCCCTGATGGGAGGCAGGAATGGGGTCTGGAATGGCTCAGCTGCCAGCGGGGGCTGGAAACCCTCCCTGGGGCACCGGGGAGGGCAGAACCCCTGCTCCCTTTATTCCCAAAAACCTGGGGCTGTGCCTTGCTGGGTCAGTTTATTCCCCAAAAAATGAGGCTGGGTCCATTTATTCCCCCTAAAAAAATGAGGCTGTACCATGCTGGGTCAGTTTATTCCCAAAAACCCAGGGATGTGCCAGGCTGGATCAATTTATTCCCCCCAAAAATGAGGCTGGATACATTTATTCCCCCCAAAAAACGAGTCTGTGCCATGCTGGGTCAGTTTATTCCCAAAAACCCAGGGATGTGCCAGGCTGGATCCATTTATTCCTAAAAAAACGAGTCTGTGCCATGCCGGCTGCATTTATTCCCAAAAAAACGAGTCTGGGTGAGTTTATTCCCCCAAAACACGAGGCTGGATCCATTTATTCCCCCAAACCCGAGGCTGTTGCACGTTTCCCTGTGACTCCCAGCCTGTCCCTGTCCCCCCGGGGATCCAGGACGAGGAATTTCAGGAATTTCGTTGATGATCCCGCAGCAGAGCTGCCCGTCCTCCCTGCCCTGGTTTGGGGCAGCTTTGGGGAGGTTTGGTCTCTGAAATGCCGGCGGGATCGGGGCGGGAGTGCGGGGAGGGGCGGCACAGCACCGGCGCTGCTGGCACCTGCTGGCACCTGCTGGCAGTGCCCGGGCTGTGCCCAGCCTTTCCCTGCGCCTCCATTTCCCTTCGTCCCGGGATTCGCCGGCTCCGCCCGCCCGGATGATGCCCTTAGGGCTTCCTCTCGGGGCTTTCCTGCGCTTTAGTTGGATTTTCAGGGTTCCGGCCCCACCCTGCCCGCGCCAGCCGTGCCCGGGGTGCCCCGGGGAGGGGCAGGATGCTCCGGAGAGGGGCAGGATGCTCCGGGCTCCCCTTGCTCAGCCCCCGGAGGGTCTCCACCCCCCGATCTCCCCCTCCCCAGCCTCCCTCGGGCCCCGAGCGAGGCTGCACCGCCCTGGGGTGCAGTCCCGCTGCTGAATTCCCTGCCGCCCGCAGCCCTTCGGGGAGTGGTGCCAGCTGCAGCCCAAGGATGCTGCCAAGATGCCCGAGAGTGCCTGGAAGTTGCTTTTCTACTCCGTGTCGTGGTCCTACGGCGCCTACCTGCTCTTCTGCACCGACTACCCCTTCTTCCACGACCCCCCCTCCGTCTTCTACGGTGAGCCGGCACAGCCAGCCCCAAATCCCCTTTTTGTCCTGCTCGGGGTGCAAAAGGGCTCCGGGGGGTGAACGAGCCTTTCCTTCAGTCCCTCGGTGGCTGCTGGAGGGGTGAGTGAATCAGGAAACAATGAAATCGTGGATAATTAAATCACGGGCAATTAAATCATGGAATGGGCTGGGCTGGGAAGGATCTTGGAGATCAGCTCATGGCCATGGGCAGGGCAGCAAGTCAGGCTGAGAAACCTGCTCCTTCCAACCCTGCAGAAATCATGATTTAAAAATCTGCTCATTCCAACCCTGCACAAATCATGATTTAAAAACCTGCTCCTTCCAACCCTGCAGAAATCATGATTTAAAAATCTGCTCCTTCCAACCCTGCAGAAATCATGATTTAAAAACCTGCTCCTTCCAACCCTGCACTAAATCATGATTTAAAAATCTGCTCATTCCAACCCTGCACAAGTCAGGCTGAGAAACCTGCTCCTTCCAACCCTGCAGAAATCATAATTTAAAAATCTGCTCATTCCAACCCTGCACTAAATCATGATTTAAAAATCTGCTCATTCCAACCCTGCAGAAATCATAATTTAAAAACCTCCTCATTCCAACCCTGCACAAATCATAATTTAAAAATCTCCTCATTCCAACCCTGCACAAATCATAATTTAAAATCTCCTCATTCCCCCCAGTGCTGTGGACAGGGACACAAACCCAAACCCACACATGTATATCATATATAAAACCCAAACCCACATATATATATCATATATAAACCCATTGTGATTGATAACAACTGGCAAAAACTAATCTGTAATAACATTATTATTTAATAATAATCATCTATAATAATATAGGTTCTTCTTTTCTAATAATCTATAATAATATAGATGGGTTTAATTTTCCTGTAATAATGTAGACGATGATGATGATGATAGTTATTATTCTCATCATTATTATTATTATTACTACAAACATAAACCAACCCGGAGTGGTTCCTGCTCCCCCCAGCCTGGCAGCAGGGCATTATTATTATTATTACAATGATGAGGATGATGATGATTATTATTATTTAGAGTATTTTTATTTTTCTATAATAATATAGATGATGATGGGTATTATTATTGATATTAAATAATACATAATTGTAAAAGAAACAATAAATAAATAATAATAACAACAATAACTGCAATAATATGTTTTAATTTTAAATTTAATTTTAATTTCTATATTATTTCTATTTTTTATTTTTATTTTTATTTTTATTTTTATTTTTATTTTTTATTTTCATTTCTATTTCTATTATTTCAATTTTTATTTTTATTTATATTTTTTATTTCCATTTCCATTTCCATTTCTATTTCTATTTTCTATTTCTATTTTTATTTCTATTTCTATTTTAATTTAATTTTTTAATTTTTATTTCAATTTTTATTTTTATTTCTATTTTTTATTTCTATTTCTATTCCCACTCCCATTCCCATCCCCGTTCCCACCGTCCCCGTCCCCCAGGCTGGCAGCGGGGCATGCCGGTGCCCGGGGACATCGCGGTGGCGTACCTGCTGCAGGGCAGCTTCTACGGGCACTCGCTCTACGCCACGGCCTACATGGACACGTGGCGCAAGGACTCGCTGGTGATGCTGCTGCACCACCTGGTCACCCTCACCCTGCTGGCCTCGTCCTACGCCTTCAGGTGAGCCCGACCCTGCCTCCCCCCAGGTGAGCCCGACCCTCCCTCCTGCCTCCTCCTGCCCCCCAGGTGAGCCCGACCCTCCCTCCCTTCAGGCAATCCTGACCCTCCCTCCTGGCCTCTTCCTATGCCTTCGTTTCCCCCCCTTTTCCCCATTTCCCCATTTTTCCCCATTTCATTTTCCCATTTTTCCCTATTTCCCCGTGGTTTTCCCCGTTTCATTTCCCTGTTTTTCCCCATTGGTTTCCCCCATTGCCCTGTGGCTTTTCCCCATGGTTTTCCCCATTTCCCCTTGGTTTTCCCCATGTTTTTTCCCACTTCCCCATGGTTTTCCCAATTTCCCTGCAGTTTTTCCCCATTTCCCTGTGGTTTTCCCCCATTTTTCCCCATTTCCCTGTGGTTTTTCCCCATTTCCCCCATTTCCCCGCTGTTCCCCGCAGGTACCACAACGTGGGCGTGCTGGTGCTGTTCCTGCACGATGTCAACGACGTGCAGCTGGAGTTCACCAAGCTCAACGTGTACTTCAAGCACCGCGGCGGGGTCTACCACCGCCTCAACGACGTCGTCTCCAACATCGGCTGCCTGGCCTTCAGCGTCAGCTGGTGCGTCTGCCTGGGCCCTGACCCCGATCCTGACCTTCCTTCCTGCTGGGTCTGGGCCCTGATCCCAATCCTGACCTTCCCTGGTGCGTCTGCCTGGGCCCTGACCCCGATCCTGACCTTCCTTCCTGCTGGGTCTGGGCCCTGATCCCAATCCTGACCTTCCCTGGTGCGTCTGCCTGGGCCCTGACCCCGATCCTGACCTTCCTTCCTGCAGGATTTGTGACCCTGATCCCAATCCCGACCTTCCTTTCTGCAGGATTTGTGACCCTGACCCCAATCCCGGCCCTCCTTTCTGCAGGATTTGGGACCCTGATCCCAATCCCGACCTTCCTTTCTGCAGGATTTGTGACCCTGACCCCAATCCCGGCCCTCCTTTCTGCAGGATTTGGGACCCTGATCCCAATCCCGACCTTCCTTTCTGCAGGATTTGTGACCCTGATCCCAATCCCGACCTTCCCTGGTGCGTCTGCCCGGGCCCTGATCCCAATCCTGACCTTCCCTGGTGCGTCTGCCTGGGCCCTGACCCCAACCCCGGCCCTCCTTTCTGCAGGATTTGTGACCCTGATCCCAATCCCGGCCCTCCTTTCTGCAGGATTTGTGACCCTGATCCCAATCCCGACCTTCCTTTCTGCAGGATTTGTGACCCTGATCCCAATCCTGACCTTCCTCCCTGCAGGATTTGTGACCCTGATCCCAATCCCGACCCTCCTTTCTGCAGGATTTGTGACCCTGATCCCAATCCCGGCCCTCCTCCCTTCTGGATTTGTCCCTGATCCTAGTCCTGTCCCTCCCTGGCGGATTTTTCTCCCCCTGCTCCCAGTCCCCTCTCTCCTCCCGGTTTTTGGGACCCCCCACCATCTCCTGGGGGATTTTGGCTGGGAAGGGCCCGAGCTCCTGCTGGGCTCGGAATCCCTCTGGAATCCCTCTGTAGTGCCGGGTCTGGCACCAGCGAGTGCCTGTGAAATTCCTGTGGCAGCGCTGCGACAAACGGGCAGGGGGGAGGAGGAGGAGGAGGAGGAGGAGGAGGAGGAGGAATTTCCCGGCAGCAAGGAGTGCTCTTCCCGGCAGGAAAAGGGAGGCAGGGCTGTCCCAAAATCCAGCTAATCCTGGAAAACAAAGAGGTGGAGGATGGATGGATGGATGGATGGATGGATGGATGGATGGATGGATGGATGGATGGATGGATCAATGAATGGATGGACACAGGATGGATGATGGATGGATGATGGATAGGGATGGACACAGGATGGATGATGGATGGATGGACAGGCTGTGCTGGCTCTGTCCCTTTCCCAGGAGCAGGAATTGGGTCCCGGGGCCAGCAGGCTGTGCTGGCTCTGTCCTCTGCCGGGGGACCCTGACCCAGCTGTCCCCATCCCTGCAGGTTCTGGTTCCGTCTCTACTGGTTCCCCCTCAAGGTGCTCTACGCCACCTGCCACTCCAGCCTGCAGTCCGTCCCCAACATCCCCTTCTACTTCTTCTTCAACGCCCTGCTGCTCGTGCTCACCCTGATGAACATCTACTGGTTCCTGGTGGGTGACCCGGGAGCTGCCCTGCCCAGACTGGGCTGGGGACAGCAGGGACCTGTCCCCTCACCTCGGGACAGCACGGACCTGTCCCCTCACCTCGGGACAGCACGGACCTGTCCCCTCTCCTTGGGACAGCAGGGACCTGTCCCCTCTCCTTGGGACAGCACGGACCTGTCCCCTCTCCTTGGGACAGCAGGGACCTCTCCCCTCCCCTCGGGGACAGCAGGGACCTGTCCCCTCCCCTCGGGGACAGCAGGGACCTGTCCCCTCTCCTCGGGGACAGCAGGGACCTGTCCCCTCCCCTTGGGACAGCAGGGACATGTCCCCTCCCCTCGGGGACAGCAGGGACCTGACCCCTCCCCTTGGGACAGCAGGGACCTGTCCCCTCACCTCGGGGACAGCAGGGACCTGTCCCCTCACCTCGGGGACAGCAGGGACATGTCCCCTCTCCTTGGGACAGCAGGGACCTGTCCCCTCTCCTCGGGGACAGCCCTGTCCTCGCTGCTGCTGGCGTGGCAGCGATGGAGGAGGTTTGGGGGGTCAGGGGAGGGGGAGGGCTGGGGGGAATTCAGAGTGTCTGACACCCCGCGGGGAGTGATAACAGCAGGGAGAGGTGTGAACGCGCTGGGAATGCTCCTGCCCCAAAAAAAGGGGATTGGGGAGAGGTGTGAACGCGCTGGGAATGCTCCTGCCCCAAAAAAAGGGGATTGGGGAGAGGTGTGAACGCTCTGGGAATGCTCCTGCGTGCCCCAGGCTGCGGGAGGGCTGGAGAGGGGAGATCCGTGCTGATTCCCTCATCCCTGGGGTGAAAGCAGGAATTCTCCCAGAAGTTCTGCTCCCAGTCACAAACCCCATCCCGGGGCTGTGGCCGTCCCGGGGGGAGCTGCCCTGCCCGAAATGGGGAGGGGGCAGCAGGGAAAGGTCCCCCCGTGCCTGAGGGTCCCTGTCCCTGTGCCCCCAGTACATCGTGCTGTTCGTGGCCAAGGTGCTGCTGGGGCAGATGCAGGAGGTGAACGATGTCCGTGAGTACGACGTGGAGGAGAGCAGGAAACCCGGGAAGGAGGCTGGGATCCAGCTGCCCCGGGCTCTGAAGGAAGGGTACGTGCAATTCCAGACTGGTTTGGGTCAGAAAACCCTCAAGCACATCCAGCACACCTCCCATGGCCCCAGGGTCTGGCCTTGGCACTGCCAGGGATCCAGGGGCAGCCACAGCCGCTCTGGGAATTCCATCCCATTCCCTGCCCACCCTCCCAGCCAGGAATCCCTTCCCAGTATCCCACCCCAATCTCCCTTTTCCCAGTTTAAATCCACTCCCCGTGTCCTGTCCCTCCATCCTTGTCCCAGTCCCTCTCCAGCTCTCCTGGAGCCCCTCCAGGCCCTGCCAGGGCTCTGAGCTCTCCCTGGAGCTGCTCCCTCGTGCTGGGTCCATCAAAGTGCACAGCCCCGGGGACAGGAGTGTCCCCAGCCGGGCAGGGAGGGTTTGCTGTGGGCACGGGGCTGACCCGGGCTCTGCTCTTCCCCAGGCTGCACCTCAAGAACGGCCTCGTGAAGGACAAGAGGTTGTGAGGGCGGCGTGGCCACGGCTGCCAGGGCCTGGCACTGCCAGGACCCTGCTGGGGACCCTGCCAAGGACAGCCCCACGGAGAACTTCACCCCTGCCCCTGCCAGCCCTGCCCGCAGCCGGGAGGACACGCCACTGCCAGGACAGGGCCCCTGGGGGCTGGGCAGTGCCCTGTGCCCGGGCCGGGGGCTCCCTGTGGCCCCGGTGGGCTGTGCTGGCCCGGGGGGGGCTGGGGCTGCCTTTGTGTCCCTGGTGTTGCTCCACGTTCTCAGCCCCGCTGTGACACCCCCTGGACCCTCCCTCCGAGCCCCCTCAGCTGCTCCAGCTCCAGCCTGGGCAGGGAGCTCCTGTCCTGCCTGGGCAGGGGGCCCCGAGGCCAGCTGTGCTCCAGCTGTGCTCCAGCTGTGCTCCAGCTGCCACCCAGGGACTGCAGAGGTGGCCTTGGAGGAGTCACTGGCACCTGCAGCTCCCAGTGCAGGAAATCCAGCTCAGGAGCTGCAGCCCAGCCCTCTGGAGGAGGCCCAGGAGCTTCAGTTTCCTTGGGAAAAACCCGTGCAGGTTTTGGAGTGGCCTAAAAAGGGTCCTGCAGGTCCCTGCTGGGGGATTCCCCCCAGGGCTGTCCCCTCGCTGAAGGAAGAACAGAGAGTTCCTGCTCCTGGGATGGATTTCAAAAAAAACCCAGAGAATTCCTTCTCCCAGGGTTGGGATTTGGGGAAGAACAGACAATTCCTGCTCCTGGGCTGGGATTTTGGGAAGAACAGACAGTTCCTGCTCCTGGGCTGGGTTTTTGGGCAGCTCCAGCCCTGCAGGCTCCAGGTCCCTGCCCTGGGCAGCTCGGTGGGTTCGGGTCCCTCGCTGTCCCCTCGCTGTCCCCAGGCCAGGACCCTCAGCTCCCTCCCCCAGCAGCCAGAGGAGATCCAGGGTGTCAGTTCCAGGTGGGAATTTGTGGGATTTTTCCATGTTTGGTCTCTCACGGTGATTCCCCTCCAGGCTTGTTGTGTCTGAGCCTGAGTGGGGCTGGTGGGAATGTCCCCAAGCTGTGGCAGGACCTTGTCCCTCCCTGTGACTTCTGGGGTGTCAGAGGAGCACCCCATGCTGGAATTCCTTGGTTTTCCGTGGGATTTGTGGGGCAGGAAGGGCCCTGATCCCCCAGCATGGGCCGGAGCAGAGCAGGGGTGACCTGGGGGGATAAAATGAATTTTCCAGTGCTGGCACTGAGCTGGGTGGCTCCAGCTGGCCTTGGGGCTGTGACATCGAGGGGTGACTGGTGGCATCTCTGCTGTGATGGCCAGGAAGGGGCTGGGGGACCTGGGGGTGCCTGGCTGGGGCAGGACCGGCACTGGCGGGGGCCGCTGGTTTTGGGGCCGCTGGTTTTGGGGCCGCTGGTTTTTGGGGCCCTGTGGAGCAGGACTTTGATGGTTTGATGTGCCGGAGGCTGATGGCTTTAAGAGAGAAGCGTTGGACGCCGTGATTGAGTTTAAAAAGGGATTTTTGGGAGGAAGAAGAGCTGGCTCCGGGTCTGCCCCAGCTCCGGGCAGCGCCTTTGGGAGCAGCGCTGGATTCCCATCCCCACGCCGGAGCCCCGGCCCGTGCTGGAGCCCGAGCGGGCGCTCCGGAGATGCGGGACAGACGGCGGAGGCCCTGAAAGGGTTAAGGGGTGCCGGGGCTGCAGGATCCCACCCAGCCGGGAGTGCCGCGGTGCTGATTGAGCTCGGGGCCCATCAAAGGCGGCGATCAGGGCCCCAGCCCCGGGCCGGCTGCTCTCTGTCTGGGCGAGCGCAGCGGGATGTGGCTCCTCCGCAGCCTGGCCTGGGCGCTGCTGAGCGCCGTGCTGGGCTCCGGGCTGGGCTCCGGGCTGGGCTCCGGGCTGAGCCCCGGGCTGAGCCCCAGGCCGGGCCCCGGGCTGAGCCCGCCGGAGCGCTCCCTGCTGCGGGCGCTGGGGCTCAGCGCCCGGCCCAGCCCCAAGCGCCCCGCGCCGGTGCCGCCCGTGCTCTGGAGGATCTTCCACAAGAGCAGGGCGCTGCCCTGGCCCGGCGAGCCGGACTCCTGCCGGGTGGAGGAGTTCAATGTCCCCGGGAACATCGTCCGAGTCTTCGCCGACCAAGGTACAGCCTCTGGGCATCCCGGGCTCCAGCCCTGGCTCCGCTCCTTCCGTCCTTCCCCGTGTCCCGAGGCGGCAGCTGGATCCCAGGAGAAATCCCCGCGGGCTGGAGTCCCTGTGGATGCTGCCGGTGATGGTTTTTGGGTTTGGAACCCCGAGGAGGGGCGTGAGCGGGGCAGCTGTGCCAGGCTCTGTCCTGGAGCCCCTAAATCCCTCCCGAGGTGCTGGCTTGATCCCAGCCCCGATCCCAACCCTGATCCAGCCCCGATCCCAACCCTGATCCAGCCCCGATCCCAGCCCCGATCCAGCCCCGATCCCAACCCTGATTCAGCCCTGATCCCAGCCCCGATCCCAACCCTGATCCCAGCCCCGATCCCAGCCCTGATCCAGCCCCGATCCCAACCTTGATCCAGCCCCGATCCCAACCCTGATCCAGCTCTGATCCCAGCCCCGATCCCAGGTTTTGGGGTGCCCGGTGCTGGAGGTGAGCGGGATGTGGCTGCAGGAACGGGATCAGCAGCAGCTCGGGCAGGGATGGGATGCTCGACCCCCCCCCCCATTGTCCCAGGGCCTCTGGCTGACCCCAGGGCACATCTGGCTGACCCCAGGGCACATCTGGCTGCTCCGAGCCGTTCTCAGTCCCCTGGGGACTGTTTGATTGGTGCCCCTGAGGTCTGAAGGCACCCCAGAGCTCTTTTCTCTCCTGGTTCCAGTTTGGCTCGGGCTGGCTGAACCAGGCTCCCCAAATTCGCTGCTTTTTGCCCTCTTTTCCCCGATCCCCCTCACCCCCAGCCCATCCCATGAGCCGATCCTGCTCACGCAGGGATTCCCCATCCCGGGAGCCGATCCTGCCCAGCCCCAGGGATTCCCCATCCCGGGAGCCGATCCTGCCCAGCCCCAGGGATTCCCCATCCCGGGAGCCGATCCTGCCCAGCCCCAGGGATTCCCCAGCCCTGGAGCCGATCCTGCCCAGCCCCAGGGATTCCCCATCCCGGGAGCCGATCCTGCTCACCCCGGGGTTCCCCCAGCCCATCCCGGGAGCCGGCCCTGCCCAGCCCCGCGTTCAGCCACCCCCAGCCCGGTTTCTCCTTTGCCAGGCCGCTTCCTGCCCGCGGGGCAGCCCCAGGGCTGGCTGTGCCTGCGGAAGCTCCTGTTCTTCAACCTCTCGGCGCTGCAGGAGGGCGAGCGCCTGACCATGGCCCAGCTGGAGCTGCAGTTCCAGCACAACTCCTACCAGGGCCCGAGCCCGGGGCAGGTTCTGGAGCTGCGGCTGTACGCGGGGTCCCCCCGGGGGCAGCCCCGGCGCGGCCGGCGGCCGCTGCTGGAGCGCTCGCTGCTGCAGCTGCGCAAGTCCCTGGTGTTCGACCTGAGCGCGGCGCTGCGGGACGGGCGGCTGCCGGCGCGGGGTTTGTCCTTCGTGCTGGAGATGTCGCTGAGCGGCCCCGCCGGGAGCCCGCGGAGCGCCTGCGGCAGCGCCGCCGCCTTCGCGGCCACCTCGCTGCTGCTGGTGACGCTGGGCCCGCAGTGCGGGGCTGCCCGCCGCAGGAGGAGCGCCCCCGGGCCCGCGCTGACCCCCAGCCCCCTGTGCAAGCCCCGCCGGCTCTTCATCAGCTTCAGCGACGTGGGCTGGGAGAACTGGATCATCGCCCCGCAGGGCTACCTGGCCAACTACTGCCGCGGGGACTGCCCCTTCCCGCTGGCCGCCGAGCTGAACAGCACCAACCACGCCGTGCTGCAGACCATGGTGCACTCGCTGGACCCGCGCGGCACGCCGCAGCCCTGCTGCGTGCCCGTCAGGCTCTCCCCCATCTCCATCCTCTACTACGACAACAGCGACAACGTGGTGCTGCGGCACTACGAGGACATGGTGGTGGACGAGTGCGGCTGCAGGTAGCGGGAGGGAGCGACGGACAGAGGGAACGACGGACAGAGGGGGGAATGATGGATAAAGGGGGGAATGATGGATAAAGGGGGGAATTATGGATAACGGGGGAACGACGGACAGAGGGGGGAATAATGGACAGAGGGGGAATGATGGACAAAGAGGGGAACGATGGACAAAGAGGGGAATGATGGATAAAGGGGGGAATGATGGACAGAGGGGGGACCAAACCCCGCTGGGAAAGCCCCGCTGTGCTCAGGGCTGCCCTCTGGCACTAAGGGGTGCTGCTGGTTCAGGATTAGCTGCGAGGGGGCTGTGGGGTTATGACCAAGCCTGGCGCTGGCCCCTCCTCGGCAGGGGGTGCTGGCACCGCGCTGTGAATCCCACGTTCCCAACTTGCAGCTTTTTGGGGTTTTTGGCTGAACTCTGCAGATTTCTCAGGGCATAAATGACTTTTCTGGGTGGATCGGGGCTGGGGGTTGCCTGGGGTGGGGTCCAGCTGCAGGGACAGGGCTGGAGCGAGCAAATCCCTTGGCAGGGGAGGCAGAGGCAGGCAGGAGCTCTCTCTGTGCTGTTTGCAGGGTGTGGGTGGTGATGGGGTGGTTTGGGGACGGGGCTTCAGTTGGGTGCCCAAATGCAGTGGAGGTTTTGCCTAAAAAATTGTTTTCCCTAAAAAAATGGTGAATTAAAAAAAAAAGGAGATTTTATCTAAGAAATCCTCTGGGAGCTGCATCCAGGGGCAGGACCCTGCAGGGAACATGGCTGAGGGAACCCAGGCTGTGCTGGGTCAGTGGCTCTCCCCTCCCAGCCTGCTGTGAGTCAGTATTAATTTATTAATTTACCTCATTTGCAAACAGATGAGCCCAGGCTGTCCCCGAGTGTCCCAGGGCAGGAGCCAGCCGAGCCTGGGGCAAGGGCAGAGCTCAGAGCTCTGCACATTTTGCTTTTCCAGGCTGTTTTGGGTGCATTTGTTGGGTTTTGTGGCAGCTGGCAGCCCCGGGCCCTTTGTGGTGTCACTGAGGGGCAGCAGGGACCCGAATTTGGGCCTTTTCCCATCCCCGAGCTCTGCTCTGCCCTTCACTGCAGGGGCTGAGCCGAGCCCAGCTGAGCTGGACCCGAGTGTGGAACCACCAGAGCCAGGCTTTGGGATTTTCTGGAACCACCAGAGCCAGGCTTTGGGGATTTTGGGGACACCGAAAAGGAATCCCAGTTAGACTTGAATTTTTTTTCTCTTTATTTCTGAACTGTGAAGCCGTGGTGCAGCTTTGGGTTTTTTGCTGTTTCCTCCTTGGGCTCTGATGTTTTCTCACCTCCTCCCCCCAGGGGAAGCTCCGAGGGTTTCACCACTGGGGGTGCCTTGGGGTGTTTTTTTTTTTGTTTTCACACCCAAAATGTGGAGCTGCAGACCCAGCCTGGAGCAGCTTTAGCTGGGTTCCCATTCCCAAACCCACCCCGCCCTGCTCTGCTCCATTTCAGTGTTCAAAGGGCTCAACTCCAGCAGGAGCCATTTCATTCTGATTTTAGACGGGCAGAGCAAGAAAACCTTGAAGCATTCCTGGGTTTGTGGCCACGGGGGGGAGTGACAGCCAGGACAGGACCCGGGCTCAGCCTGGCCTGAGTCTGAGCCCAGGGTGGTGCCAAGGCCAGGCCTAAACCCCCAGAGCCAGCTCTGAGCCCCCAGCCCCGAGCCTGGCAGGGCAAAGCCATTTCTGTGTTTCCTCCAGGCTGGGAGCTCTTCCCAAACCCTGGGGCTGGAAGAGGGGGGGCCCTTCCCAGTATTCCCAGTTCTCCCAGTTGAGTTGCTCACCCCTCTGCTATGCACACCCCCACTTTTGTACTAGTCTTGTGTTTAAAAAAAGTAATAAACTTGAAGTTTATACAATCAGACTAAAGCTTTAATGAACGTTGCATGGTTTCCTCATTGAAACTTAAGGGCCACCTTGAATGCAAGAGCTGTTTATTCTTTTTTTTAATTGATGACAAACAGGTTTTAAAACAAAACTGAGACAAAAAAATTAATTAATTAAAAAAAAAGAGTTTTAACACCGTGCTAGCACTGATGTCTGGATTTGTAAAACTCAAAGAGTTTGAACTGCTACAAAGGAAAAAACCAGCACGAAGCAGAGGCAAGCATTCCCAGCAGTGAAAGAAAGGGTGAGGGGAGAGGAGGGGGCTACATTACTCATGGAAAGCTTTGCACAGAGGGGTTCAGCTTAAACCTACCCGAAAAGTCTACGCCACTACGCTGCCTACCAAGGAAAAAAAATTAAAAAGCCCTTCGGCAATGTTAATAAATAAAACAAGTCCATCTCACGAGGAAGGAAGGTGGCCTGTGTCTCCATTCTTTCACTGTTTTAGGATCTAAACTCTGGAGGCTTTGGATGAGAAAAGAATGGGTTTTGTGAGTTGAGATTTTTGTGGTTTTGCAGTTTCTGCAGCTCCCCCCCGGGGCTGGGGGAGCAGGTCCCTCCGGGCTGGGGGTCCCACGCCAGGGCTGCTCTGGGGCAAATCCTGCAAATCCAGGGCAGGCATCTCCAGGAAGGACAGGAATGAAAGGGTTTCCCCTCCCCGGGTACAAAATGGGGTCTGAGCTGTTTGAAGTACATTCAGATGAGAGGTATTTTGAGTTTTTCCCCCCAAAAAAGGACTAGAAACACTTGGAGCCCTTTGAGTGTAAAGCTTAACTCCAGGCCGAGGAACTGCCAGGCTCTGGCTCAGTCTCTGCTGCTGCTGCCAGGGGGAGGCAGAGGTTACTCTAATTCAGGGTCTAGAACGGGCTGGAGGAATCAATTCTCCCTCAGTTCCTAGAAAAGGTTTGGACAGAAATGAAAAGCTCCAAGTGCTCCCTGTGAGTGTTCCAGACGTGGCTCCACCTCAGCGTGGCTGGCACCTCCCAGGCTGACCCCAGCTGGGCTGAGCCCTCTGCTGCCGAGCAGAGCTTCCAGCTCCTCACCCTGCCCCTCTCCTGCCACGAAGCCACCCCAAAGCCTGACCCACTGTCCCAAATCAAACCCAGCTCTGTCTCTCAGAGGCCACCACCTTCCACCACCTGCCTGCCTTGTCCGTCTGTCCATCCTGCTCCTGCAATGGCGTGGAGTCTTCCCTTCCATCCAAAATAATCCCCAATTTCCACTACTCCTCCCCAAGAGCTGTGGGGACCAGAGCAGGCCTGGCTGCACCTTCTCTCCAGGGCCGAAGGGCACAGGAACCCGGCCCCCTTCAAGCAGAAAGTTCATCTTACAGAAAGGCTGTTTTTCACAGAGTAGAGTCCAGACAGTTGCCAATTAAAGCATACAGAAAACACTTTGAAACCCTCCTGCTCGAGCACGCAGGCTCCTCTCACTCTAAACCTATCCCATGTAGGAAGAAGAGGCTGATTGCTGCAACTTGAAATCACACTGAAAGTTCTCAAGGATGGTGCTCTAATTTTTGTTTGAAACAATTTTTTTTGGTTTTTTTTTTAAAGTTTTTTTTTTGTAATATAAGCTTCTCAGAACAAGGATCTAAATCTCCCAGGTCCACCACTAAGAATTCAGAGACAAAACTTCTTAAAAAATTCAGTGCTCTTTTTGAAAGAATCTCTTTAAAACCACCTCGTTCAGAATGTGGGCGACACGATGACAACAAATTTCAGAGCCAGTGTTGGACAACAAAACCTGCACCTCAGAGTTGAGCAGCAGCTGGATTCTGCTTGGCTGGCTGTCACCCAGGCAGGGACTTTCTCTCTCTCTCTTTTTTTCCCCCTTCTCTCAGATACTCTGCTTCTAAAATGTAAACAAGTTCCTGCTAAAATATTCTTAGGCCCCCTCACAAAACGAGCCCAACTCTGAGATGAGGGTTTTCCTCTCCCCATCTGCTCTGAAAAGTTCCTGCCCTGCTCGCACAGAGAAGTATGGAATGAAGTGAAACCTGCTTTGTTAAGGCCCTTCTCCGGAGCTGGGTGACTGGGGGAGCAGGGGCCCAGCTGAGCACTCCTGGCTGAGCTCCGTGCCGTGAGCCAGTCCTCCAGGGCTCTGTCTCCTCTCCTTGTCAGTCTCCTTGTCCCAGTGAGCTCCAGCAGTGGCTCTCTCGCGTGCTCCTCTCTCTCTCTCTCCTCTCGGTTGGTTGCTTTCTTTCTCCTGTTGCTCTCACACAGTGGTGCTTCAGTTTTAGCAGTGGAAAACAGGTATCCATTTTATTTTATTTTTTTTATTACCCAGAATAAAATGCTGATGAACTAAGCTCCACACAAGCTTAGCTCTTCTTCCTCAACCTGGGGGCAGAAGGAGAGCTCAGTTAGGGGAGGGGCTGGGCCAGGCAGGCTGAAACCAGGCAGGGGACAGCTTAAATGGGGGGGGACAACTTAAATCAGGGAGGGGACAGCTCAAAACAGGGAGGGGACAGCTTAAATGGGGGGGGGACAATTTAAATCAGGGAGGGGACAGCTCCAACCAGGCAGGGGACAGCTTAAATGGGGGGGGACAACTTAAATCAGGGAGGGGACAGCTCAAAACAGGGGGAGGGGACAGCTCCAACCAGGGAGGGGACAGCTTAAATGAGGAGGAGGGGATAGTTTAAATTAGGGAGGGGGCAGTTTCAATCAGGGGGAGGGGGCAGTTTGAATCAGAGGGAAGGGACAGGGGTCTTACACTCTAATACTGTGACAGTCCCGTCACTCCACCATGTTGATATGCTCGTTCCCCCTGGTAAGTTGAGTCCTGTGACAGCGCCACGTCAATCTGGGATTTAAACTCATCACCAAGGTAACTGTCCTGCAAGGGGAGAGGTGAGGGAAGCCTCAACGTCAGTGTCCAGCTCAAGTGCAAGGCAGAACCAGGTTCATCATAAAGCTGAGAGCGTTTGGGTTTTTAAAATCTGCTTTTTTTGGTGCAGAATGTCCCTAAATCAAGGGGTTTTGAGCTGTTTATCAGCTGAAGCAACATTTCACTTTCATGGCCCCACCAGTGCAGGCTGTAAATGCTGCAGCTGAGTCACTGAGAGCAGTTTCAGTTTCGTTTCCCTCAGGAGGGAGGAGGTGCAGGCACAGATCACAACACAAATCCCAGGAAAAGCTCCCAAAAGCCACACTCACCTGGGATAATTCCGGCTGGGAGAGCCCAGGCTGACTCATCTGGGAGGGCTGGCTCATGGAGATGTAGCCCTGGGTCAGGGGGCCCTGGGAGAAGGGCTGGGACACCACGTCCTGGCTGGCCTGGCTGTTGGGGAGGTTGGACTGGCTGCTGCCAGGAATCCCAAAGCGGTTTTTCTGGCGCCCGCCTCGGCCCGTCTTCCCTTTGGGAGCCCCACGGCCTGCAAGGAGCCCACAGTGAGACCTGACAGCCAGGCACACCTGGCAGGGCACGGGGTCCCTCCTTTGTGCCCCTCACCTGCAGCGGGGCCGTTGGCCTGGCCGAAGTAGCCCGGGGGGGGCATGGGGGGCATGACGAGGTTGAAGGGGATGGGAATGTTCATGGCAGTGACGTGGCTGGGGCCAGCACTGATCATCCCAATCTGGTCGTGGGTCTGGAAGTACATGTTGGATGGGCGCCCTGGGAGAGAGAGGGGAAGCACAGGGGCTGCAGATCTGGCTGCTCCAGCATCAATCCCAGCCCTGGGGAAGGACGAGCCCCCCCTGTGCCTCGCTGCTCATCCCACACCTGGAGATCCCATCACTCCATCTAGCACAGGCTCAACCTCAGCTCCTCCTCACAGCACCCCCTGAGATCCCTGAAATGCTTCTCACACCCCTTCCCCCTCATTCTGCACTTGCTCTGCACATGTCAGGCTGGGACTCTGTATATTTACAGAGAGCAAAATCCAGGCTCGACACTTTCAGCCCTCAAATTCATCCTCAACATTTTCAGTTGTTCAATTAAATCCCAAACATTTCAGCCTCAAATTCATCCTGAACATCTTCAGCCTCAAATTCACCCACAGCATTTTCACTCCTTAAATTAATTCCATTTTCAACCCTTAAACTCATCCCAAACATTTCAGTCTCAAATTCATCCCAGACACTTCAGTCTCCAATTTACCCCAAGTATTTCAGGCTCAACTTCATCCCAAACATTTTCAGCCCTCAAATTTGTCCCAAACATTTTCAGTCCTTAAATTCATTCCATTTTCAGCCCTTACACTCATCCCAAACACTTTCAGTCTTCCAACTCCATCAATTCCGTTCTCTAATTCCATTTGTGTAGTCTGAAGTTTAGATCTTTAAGAAATTTTAAATTTGCACAAGTATAAAAGCTTTTAAGGAGTTTCAAAGTTTGAAGTGTGTAAGATGTGAGCCCTCAGGGGCTGGTCAGGGAAAAAGCAAGGCCTGAAAGTGAATTTTGGGGATGTGCTTTACCTTGGCTGCTGCGGTCGTAGACAGAGCCAGGGATGATGGCCTCCCGTGCATCATACATGGCAGTGGTCATGAAACGGGCTCCCTGCAGAGATTTGGGCAATCAGGCATTCATCCTCATTTCCTCCCCCCCAGAAAACCTTGCACTGCAGCCTCAGTGGAAGCTATTTTGGGTAAAAATCCATAAAATTCCACAGATGGCACAAATGTTGTGGAAATTAATTCTAACACATAGAAAACTTTTAATTATTATTTCAGCCACATCCTGAACACCAAAAATAAGATTTTCCAGCAGCCTGTCCCAAACTGTGAGAGGTTTGATGAGTTTTCAGTCTATTCTGAGGCCCTGGCAATTCCCTTGCTCCATTCACTGTCCTGTGGTGGCTGCCAGGCTCCCCCAGTAACAATTGATG